AAAACTTGTAACTACTAACAAACTCTAAGTCAGGAATGACTTGACATTCTTCAGTAATGTAATATGCCAAACAAAATGATGCTTGGAAATGTTGAAAATTTTGTTTAGTATCCTAATATTTTACTTCAAATAGTATGTTTTGATATAATCATGTAGGAAAAGTGAAAAAATCTGTTCTTAAATATCTTTTAACAACTTTTTTTCTAATTTTATTGCCCAAAAATGAATTAATTTTAATCACAAGCAGTTAAACTCAAAATAAAATACAGTTTTATCAAAACTATGGGTTTTTGACAGTTTTTGACGTTTTTGACATGACAGTAAAAACCATGATATAAACCGGTAAAAACCGTCATGTGTCAAAAACTTGCCAACCCTGGTTTAAACTACAAAACACTGAATAATGATAACTTTTTTCTATCTACATCCTACTTATCGTACAATAACTCGTTGATCAAGTAATATAATTTCGGAGGGGTTTTTTGCCTCACAAACCCTCACCAACACTACACCACTGGTATTATTGTAATGATCCTTAATGATATTTTTGATGCAATTTATTCATACTTCTGTTTAATTACTGTATATATATATATGTTCTAAATTATACATTTATTTAATTGTTGTAACTGAAGTTTTTCTTTGTGTCTTTCCTTCCTAGTTCGTGCCTATGAAGACAGAGGTTTAGTTTAAAAAGGGGTTTCCGGTTCAATATGGTAAGTTCAATATGTTCTATTATAATTCGCCGAATTACAAAGATAATCTTCATTGATACCTTAAATTATTTTGGTCAATATATGGAAAAACTACATTTTTTAAGGCTAATTCTAACTACAAGCACTTTTTTACAAATGGACAATTACAGTCAAGAATCTTAAGGCATTCAGAATCCCTCAAAACCACCTGAAAACAATTTATTACTTTTCTAAGAATGCTAATTATTAAGTTATTTTTAAATAAAAAGGTTATAGTTTGTCTATGGCAAGAACTCCCCTCGCCACGAAGTCTGAGGTGGTCTGCTGCTATGGAAACAGGAATAGCGCATTTTAGGGAGGGTAGCTTCTCTTCACTCTGCGGCTAACACAATAGACCGAAGAAAAAGATTCACTTTCTTTCTCGAACCCGAGCCAAAACCTGTCCTAAAAAATGACCCCACACCCCTACTAGAAATAGTTATTCCTCGTTATCATAGTCACCGCCACGAGTCCAGACGAATGGTTAGGGGAGTTCTTACTTTAGACTAACTATAATTCCGTTTTCATCTGGAGCCACGTTATTATTCACGAACTGACGTCATTCGTGCCCATCGGCCTTTCGTTTATAATTGCTGTGCTGTGAAAGCCATTACGTTTTTCCTTCCGTTTGAATTTTCGTAATTAAATCGAAATCCAAGCTTTTTTAATAGATGCGATGTCCGGGAAATTTCAGTTTCAGAACCTTTTAAGTATATGAAACGAAATTTTTTTGAACAGAAAGTTTTTCTCTTAGAAAAATTACACTTTGAAAAAAATTGATAGCTCATTATTTTGCCGATATTGGTTGAAAAATATATTTAATAAACTTTTTTTTTCTTAATCCAATCTATTTCTATACGATGCAAAATTCAATGTGGGAGAAACAGTTTAAATTATTCCCATCAATTAAAGTAGTGGTAAGTTGTACAAAGACAACATTGGTCCATTCTTTTCAATTCTTTTTCTAATTTAAAATTTCGTATATTATTTTATTCGCATATTTATTTCTTAAGTAATATTCAATTCTATATAAAATAATATGATTTTCAATAAGCAAGGAATAGGGCAAAATCAAGAAATTTCGTTACCAGTGAGTGATCTGTAGTGACAATTTTAATAGTGACCACTTTTAAATTATCACTTTTTCAAAAATTGAAAATTATTGTTATTATTAAAGAAAAGTAATTTTCTAATTAGGGTAAACAATCCATTTCCTGACCTTTATGTATGTAAAATTTCCTATATAATGGTTTCAACTACTTTAGTTTTTTAAACTAATTATTTAACATAAAATTTATATTTAATTATAAATAAAAATTTGTTACAAAATCAGCCATAAACTATAATTAAAATGATGTAATAACCAGAGTATCTGCGCACCTAGAAAGTCCATGAAAAATCATGGAAAGTCATGGATTACGTTATTGAACAAAATTTGGCATGAAATGTCACGATTTTGACCATTTAAAAAAATCATGGAAAGTCATGGATTTAGGTTGCCGAAAAATCTAATTTTTAAAATGAAATTTACCTCCTCCCCCACTTTCATGGTGTTCTGAATATCTAAATTTGTAACAAAATCCCCTTTCCCAGTCTTAATGTAAAATGTTTTATCCTATTCTTTAAAAACTATGGTGTTCTTTCAAAAAATTAAAGAAAGAACATTTCTGGAGTGAATTATCTTATTAACTTTTCTGATTTCAGAATTTTTTTATTTTTTATATTTTATCAATTTAAAATTTCTAGCTGAAGCAAGTCAGTCATTGGCGAATTTTTTTTTTTTTAATTCTGAAATAACCAAAAAATTAGGATTATTTCTTTCCTTTCCGAGGAACAAGAAAAGTAATTTTAGAATATAATTCTGCGGAAAAAAAGAAAATGATTTTCTTTTGCATTTTAGTTAACTATTTTATGGCTTCAACTCTTTCTTTACTCTTTTTTTAATTTTTTTTTATTGAAATCTATAAGTATGAAAACGCAGAGTATAACAGTTTTAGTTATACCTATACTTTGAATTAATGTTATTATAATATTATTTTTTTCTTCTTATAAATTTACTGTTGTGTAGTAATGAAAAGTCACGGATTTAGTAGATACTCTGAATAACTTTCAGCGGATACAGCGTGTGAAATACAAGAAGCTGGCGAAAAAAAAGTTCATTTCACTCTAGAACAGTCATGTCAAAGATANTCATGAAAATAAAAAGGAACAAACATCGCGCAAGACTTACGAATGAACATCTCCAATCAATTCTTAAAATAATTATAACAAGTACGAAACCGGACATCAATGAGCTTGTCAAAAACAAGAGAAGTCAGGTATCTGGATCCTCGAGCTCAAAATAATAACCATCTTTTATAACTTTGATTTGATTTTTAGCAATCGTATATTATAAACTATGTAATTAGATAAAGAAAATTTTATAATAATTTGATTTGATTTTTAGCAATCGTATATTATAAACTATGTAATTAGATAAAGAAAATTTTATAATAATTCAGTATATTTTTTTTATTTGCATCTGGCCCGCCTACATATTCTAAATTTAATATATGGCCCTCTGCAAAATTGAGTTTGACACCTCTTCTCTAGAAAGCAGGAACCAAGTAACAAAAAAAAAATAAAAAGTTTTTAGAATAGCCAATCAGTCTCTTAAACAACTCAATTAGAGAACATAATGGTTGCTACCTCTGATCAATTCCCTCTAAAATGCTTCTCATTCACTATAAATGTGATTTCATATTTACAAGAGCATTTCTGCTATTGAAATTCTGTTTTTACTAGTAGGTAAACGAATCTTAGCTGAATCTAACAAATCTTCTCATCATTTTCAATTTTTTTTCTGATTTGAGATGCGTTTTAACTTTATAAATGCGTTCTTATTCAATTTTTGTTTGCACCATTTTGGAATAGTCAGCTAAAAAATATATAAAGAAATAATAGGAAACATCGTGTTAAAATTGTTTTTATATTTCTGATACATTTGAACTTAATAATTGCGTTTCTAAAAGAAATGTTCAATTTTAAATTATTTTCTAATTTGAAATGCATTTAAACTCAATAAAAGAGTTCTAATTCTTATATTTTCCCTATTATGACCTACTGCTAAAAATCTACCGAAAAAAAACCGAATCGAAATCTTCTTATTTAAATGTTTTTCTTTTTAAAGATACATTTAAAATTTATAAGAACGTTTTTAATTCAAATTCTTCTGTTTTCACCAAACGAATGTTTTCAAAACGAATCTTAGCTGAAAACTAAGAAAAAGCATCATCTTCTCATGATTTGTGTATTTTTTTCCTTCCTAATATGAGAAGCATTTAAATTTTAAAATGAATAAAAGCTTTCTTATTCTAATTTTTTTCTTCCCTTTTTTATAATCTTCAGCTAAAAAAAAAAAAAAAACTAACGATTAACGTAAATTTTCTTTTTTAAATGCTTTCATATTTAGGATACATTCAAACTTTAAAAAGTGTTTCAAATAGAAATTCTTCTGTTTTCATCAAAGGAATTTTTCTAAACGAATCTCAGCTATAATAACTAATGAGAAACCATAATCTTCTCGCAATTTTTTCTTCTAATTTGAAATGCACTTAAACTTAATAAAAGCATTCTTATTCTAATTTTTTTGTTTTCCATTTTTATAATCTTCATCTTTAAAAAAAAGAAAAAAGAAACTGATGAGAAACATAATTTTTTCATCTAAATTGTTTTCATATTAAAGATACATTTAAACTTTCTTAGAACGTTTCTAATTGAAATCCTACTGTTTTTACCAATAGTTAAATGAATCTTTCCTGAAAATTAATGAGAAACGTTATCCTCTCATTATTTTAAATTATGCATTACTTAATAAATGTATTTTTGTTCAAATTCCTTTGCTTCCATCATTTTATAATCTTCAACTATAAAAACTTGAATCTTCTTTAAATTGTTTCCATATAAGAGACATATTTAAATTTCATAAAAAAACGTTTCGAATCGAAATTTCTTTTTATTTTCATCAAAAGAATTTTTTCTAAACGTATCTGAAAACTAATGAGAAATAATACTATTTTCCGATTCGAGGCATATTTAAATATTATAAAAGAGTTCTTATTGAATTTCATTTGTTTTTTCGATTTTATAATGGTCTAATAATCACTTTAATTATTTTCACGAAATCGTTTTTCAATTTTTTAAACCCACAATCCAAATAGTGGTTTTGAAAACAACATCTATTCAATGATTAGTGATGGTGGAACTTATCTTTCCTATTATTCGATATAACTCCCAAATAGTTAGATTTTGTATTTTCTGATGTTATTTGGGTGAATTGTAGTAGAATAATTCGTCGATATCATTTTACTTAATTTTCTATATTGCTGTGAGTGTGAGGCAGTAAAACATATAGAACAATACCCAGAAACCTTGTGTCAGAATTTTCTTTCTATTGTCGCGAAAATAATTGCACTAAAAAACCTTTTATTCAAATAAAGCAAACATATTGCAGTGTCAAACCTTTCATCCTAAAAGAATTAAAAATTATTTTTTAAAGCTTTTTTTTAAAAAGTATTGCCACTATTTAGGTTCATAACGATAGTTTTAGGTGACGTCACGCAAGCGATCGGATCAAACTGCATTGTCCATTATCCGCCACATTTCATGACAAGGCGGTTTTTAGCTTAGCATACAAGACTTTGCGAAAAGAAACCTTATAATTACCTAGATTTAAGACATTGAGATTAGCTTTATTATAGGATTTTTCCACGCTTGAAAACCCTAAGTCAGCCTCTATTTAAGGTTTTTATATACAGTAGGGAACCAATTATCCGGAACGATCGGAACCATCGCTATTCCGGATAACTGATTTTCCCGGTTTTCTGAATCGCTACACAAAGCCGTCTTTTTATTGTTAAACCCAACTAAAAAAAAATAATAATTGGAAATGATCTTAAAAAGAAGAAAAAACGATGAAGAAATACACTAATGATTATTTCCAAAATGATGGTAAGGTAAACAGCTTTCAGAAAAGAAAGAAAAATCCTAAAATCTTACGAGGAAATTTTTTTTTTTTTTTAAATGGCTAGAAAATTTATCGAATTTCGTTCCGGTTTTTTGGTTTTCCGGTTTTCTGATTTCCGGATAACGGGTTCTGTACTGTAGAAGGCACGCAGGTCGTCTGGCCACCAAGGTAGTGGAGACATCTCCTGAGCAGAGGATCAAAATGGCGATGACCTGTGTTCGGATCATCCTTAGGGATATTTCCCGGACCGTCGTTAATTGCCCATTGTGCAGCTCTAGTGTGATGTAAATAAAAGTACCTGCCTCCCAGATAGCAAAATAATGTTTATTTGCATTCAGCAAAAACCTTATAATGTAAACCTAAAAAGGTTTTTAATGTTGTTTATGCTTAAGCCTTCGAACCTTAAAACGAGATCTGTGACAGTCTGCTCTATTCTAGGCACATTACCCTACTACAAAATCTTGGAAAACAACATTCTATATAAAAACCTTAAATCGAGGTTGACTTAGGCTTTTCAAGCGTGAAAAAGTCTCAAGGTGAAAATAATCTTAAACTAGGTCAAAGTCTTGTATGCTCAGCGAAAATCCACTTGGTCATTAAATTTTAATGGACAATGCAATTTGATCTCATAGCTAGTGTGACACCAGTTAAAACGTCATTATGGATCTAAGTGACAAAAAATCTTTAAAAAATAATTTTTAATCCTTTTAAGATGAAAGGTTTGCAATATTTTTGCTCTATTGAACAAAGGTTTTTAGTGATAATGACAAGACACAAGGTTGCCGTAAGGTTTACATGCTAAGGTTTCCCATCATGCAGCTCTAGTGCGACGTAAATAAAACCTATCTCAAATACTGAAAAAATATCAAAATTTAGACAAATTACGGTAGTGTCACTTCCCCATTGTGTAATCCAGACATAATTTGTTTACGTTTTGATATTAAAATAAATTTCTGTTGAGCATCTGAATTCACTATTTATGTTTTTGAAAGAGTTTGATTGTTGGTAGGAACCCCTGACCGAAACGTCTTCACCAGAGGAGTTGAAGAAAGCTTTGGAGTGGGAGCTGAGCCTAGACAACAATGACTTGAGGAGTCATGCCTGGTACCATGGCACCATCCCTAGGCAAAGGGCGGAGGAGCTGATGTCGGGTGACGGGGATTTCCTCATCCGCGATTGTATATCCAGGCCTGGAGACTATGTCCTTACCTGTCGATGGAAAAATACCTCACTGCACTTTGTTATCAACAAGGTTTACAGTCATTTCCATCCTACTTTATTATTTAAATTGCTACAATCTAGTTTTAGTGTCTATTACACCGATCAGTTGGTTCAATAAAATTCATTGTGAGCACATCACAAGAGTTCACTACGACTTTTTCCTATTTATTCTTCAGTTTTGAGAATAATGGTGGCAACGTTTCTATTCTTATGAGAAATAGAAAGAGTTTTTTTTTAAATTGAGGTACCCAATACTGATGTTTTTTTAAAAAAGGATTTACTCCTGTTATCACACTCACTTTTTAATCACAGGAGTGATTTAACTTTTAAGAACTGAATCATGCTATTGGTTGAAAATTACTTAAATTTATGTGGGAAAGGAGAAGGTGTGTATTGCTTTACTTTGGTTCTGAGATTTCGATTCTACATTTGACAAGTTAGATTTTAATTCTCTTATTATATCTGTTTAAAATATTTAATTTTATTGCAAACTTAAGATGTATCGCTACATAAACTTTTAAATGTTTTTATCATTCTAATATAATTCTTTAAAAACTAAAATAAATAAACTAAAATAAAATCCTCCCATAATTGATGGCCAAGTACCAGCAGGGTGTGTAGCATTTTAAAAAGTCCTTTAAGGTGCTTATTTTCGATTTTCGTTTTTTAAGAGCCCTTAAAGGTGCTTTTTTCATTGGGTGATTTTAAAAAGTGCTTAATTTTCCCCTTTCCAAATTGAGATTTTTTTCTTTACTATGTTTATTTTCACTACGAATTATGCAGAAAGGCACAGTTCACATTGTTCTATTCAACGTTTTCACACTTAATTCAATCCCAGTCTATTTCGGCTCATAGTCAGTCCGTAGCATATAAAAACGTTATTCGATTTACATGATTCAAATATTTTCACAATTGTCAAAAACATTCCAAAAGATATATTTTTTTTGACGTGACGGTTAAAACCGCCAATTGTCAAAAACTTCCTAACCCTGCCTAATTATGATATTTTTTTTAAGTGCTTAAAAATATTAATTAAGTGCTTGAAAAGCTCTTATTTTTGTTGAATAATTTGGCTACGCACCCTGACCTGATATTTCAGCTGTCCACTGCGCGGGATTCACCTACAGCATGACAACTACACTACAAGTGAAAAAAATCTCAGCGACCATTTGCATCAATCATTGCAATATGTCGATCTCTGCTGTGAACAAAATTTGCAGTAATGCTCTCAATGATTAATTATTCTGACAGCTGTGTAAGAAAAACGAAGAAAAATTCAATCGCTTGCTATTGCTGGGTGTTTTTTAATTGTCTTATTAAGAATAAATTACTCTTATTAAGAATAAATTATCCTTTTTAAGAATAAATTACTCTTTTTAAGCATAGGTTTCTTTGTTGTATTTTTTTTATTACCATATTTATTTTTATTATAACAAATGGATTGCAATTACCTGCCTTAAAAATGTTTCCTGTTTATAATTCAGCACACACCTCTTTGTCCCTATGCTCTAAATAACTAATTTTTTTTTAAATAGAAAAAAATCAGATTTTTTTAAAAAAAAATTTCTGAAATACACTGCAAGAACTTTGATTTATGACTAAAAAAATCAAAATTAAATTAATATTAAAACTATATTATATGAATATTTTAGAAGCTCTAACTACCTAGAACAATTTTTCATTATAATACATAGCTTTAAATGAATGGCAACCAATTTGAAACAAATGCATGATTGAAATTTAAAGACTAAAGGAAATAGGGAATTTAAAGAACTCTTTAACTATTAAAGCAAAGTTTCAATTACCAAACCATACTTTTAATTTAAAATTGTGATTTATTTTTTTCTCTTGGTTTTTAAAATGACAAAATAAATGTTACAGATTGTGTTTATAAATGTAGTTATTCATCAAAAAATAAATAAATATTAAATCTGTATATTTTTATATTAAAATATTCATTTTTAATCCAACATCAAAATGGATAAATTAAGCTAAAAAAAATAATAATAATTACAAAAATCTGTACTAATTTAAATTTTTTTTTCACAAAATTTCTTTATAGAAAATCTGATAACGTCAAGGATACTGTAAGCATATTATGAGAAAAAAATACATAATGTTTACTTTAATCTGTACTTTCAATCTCAAGAATCAAAAGATTTTTAAAAATGTAATTTCAAATGTGTAGGAATTTAACACATACGAAGAAAGAAAGTAATTTCATTAGTTAAAATTAATTAATGCAGCAATAATAAATTTTAAAACTAATGCAGCAATTTATTTAAAGTAAATTTTAAAACTAAGAAAAGAAATAATAAAAGTATAAATAATTTAAAACACTGTTTTTTAACTTTTTAAATAAATATGTTGTTACATATGGCTTTATTGGAAATAATAATCCATATACAATGTTCAACTTTAAGTGGACATAAACAAGGAGTAAAAAGGAACAAAATTACAATAACAAACAAAGAAAACGCATGACAAACGCGTATTAACACAAAAAGAACACATAGAAAAAATTAAAGTAAGAAAAAAATATATATATACAGTGAAGAATGAGGAGTAGTCTTTACAGAGAGTTCATGTGATCTCTGGCATCCCAGTAAAGTTTACAGAGATCACCCCGCTCTTGGGATAGCTTGTCCAGTAAAGGGCATACAAGCAAGTGGTCTGAGTTCATGGTTCCCCAATTGCAGATTTGGCATTCACTAGATGGAAGGATACCTATTCTGTTGAGGTGCTTTGTCAAAGCAGTCGTGGCCTGTTGAGAGTCTGAAGTTTGCCACAGCCTTCTTATGAGGACTGTGACAAAATTTCTTCCAACTGTTTTGGATGTTTGCCTAGGGTTTTCCAGTGGATTTTACTGCTTGGTTGCGCTTTAGGTCCGTCATAAGTTTCTCAGAAAATTGTTTTTTTAAGGGAGTCTGGTTTTAAATCTACATATATATATATATTAAAAAAAATAAGTTGATTTAAATCAATGATTTTTAAAAAAAAAAAATCATTTGATTAAATCAATGAATTTTTTAAAAAAATCATTTGATTTAAATCATGATTTAAATTGTGATTTAAATCACCAAACCCTGATACAGATAGTAATGAATGTGTTTTTGTTCTCAGGTTGTTTTTCAACCCTTCACAGTGTACGAGAGGATTCAGTATCAGTTTGAGGATGATTGCTTCGACACAGTTCCTGACCTGGTGACCTACTACGTGGGCAACAAGCGCCCAATATCAGCTGCTTCTGGTGCCATCATATCGAAACCTGTCAACAGGAGTATGCCCCTCTCTTATTACGCAACTCGCTATGGCCTGGAATGCCAAATGCACTATGCTGCACTAGCACTAGAGAAGGTGTCAACAGCAGAAGATATACTGCCTCTAGGAGATTCCGAAAGGAGCCAATCCTTTGAAGGTTAGGGATTCTTACATACACCTAAGGATGAGTTTTTCTGCTTCTTCTTTTTAATTAATATTGTCGAATTTAAAAAATTAAAAAAAATAATCCGCATTTTAAAATTCTTGCAAAAATAATTTTTTTTTTGGTTTTTCTTTTCTGCCAATGCAAAACCAATTTAAAATTATATTCACACAATTTATAATTACACATCGCTATTCATGCACATGTGGTTTAGAATCACAATTGCGTTTCGCATTCTTGTGTTTTAAAATTACAGAACATGATCTGCACTCACAGGATTTTAAATTACATATCATAATTCCTATTCACATGTTTTAAAAATCAAGCATAGAGATTCATATTTACCAAATCTTTTTTAAAAAAATAACCAATCTATATTTTTTATTAAAACGTTGGCAATATTTAATGTATGTATGCTTCATACTTATACTTTTTTCTTGTCAAGTTATAGGTGTTTTTTTCAATTATTTAAAAAGAGCTGTACTGCACAGAATTTGGTGCAATATTCAGCAGTAATCTCGCATTCATCATAGTTTCGGAGTGCAATTCAAAGGTGGTTGTGACTTAATGAAAATATACTTGAAGCTGAAAAAATTATGTGTAGAGGTTCTTCTGAGTTAAAAAAAAGTCAAGAATTCGAATTGCAATTTTTATTGAAGAGAAAAAATTTATCTATTTCTCTTAAAACTTAATTTATAAAAATTTGATATACAAATATTAAAATACAAATTATCATAAACCATATTTTTTTTAAGAAATAAAAACAGCTACATTTCATAACTAACTATTGAGATACTTGGACACAGATTTGGATCATTAAGTAATAAAATTGCTTTGGGAAAATGATGAAAATATTTTAAAATTATCTTTTTATTTATCTGCGTGAACATAGAATTTAATTGTTACTAATAAGTTAAGAAAAGATATTAAACTTATTCTTTCTTTTCTTTTTATCCATAAGGGGTCTGTCTAGTTTTTTTTTTTTTTAAGAGGTACCTATTTTGTGAAGCTTTAAACATAATTTGTGAATCAGCGCGAAAATATGGTAAAGTAAGAAAATATTTCCAAAAATTGTCACTACAAATAAAAATCATTTATGACTGGTAAATTTTTATATATTTTTTTCCATCTATTAAAAAACTATTATGCTATTGTAAATTTGGGGCTTAAAACTGCATAAAAATTTAAAAATCCATAAAAATCATTGTCTATAGTTACATTTCAACATAAATTTATTAAAACCCATGCATTTGGCAGTACTAGCACTAAAAGTTATTTTCATCATCAGGGGTCTAGTTAACGGATCCTTCACAAAATATCTTTTCATAAAAGCGGACCTTTCACAAAATAATTTATCTTTTAATCAGACCCTTCAAAAAATTTTTTATCTTAATTATTGTTTTGTTAATCGAATAAACCCTTCCCAGGAAGGTGGGGGAGACAAATGTAAACGAACTTAGTTTTGTCTTCGGCAGACGCTTCTTTTTTATTCGTCCAAAATGAATATTCTGCCTTCAGCAGTATAGGCTAAATACCAAATATTTGTATGTTGCATCTCTAATTTAGTAGCAGCAATTGCTGTTTATCTTATAAAATTTAAATTTTTTTATTATGACTTTACAGTGTTGAGCATAATCTCGGTATGTTTTTACAATTTAAAAACTCCTTGAAAAAGTTTTTTTTGTAATAACGGACCCTATTTGCGTGAATTCACAAAAGCAGGATACTGGTTGAAAGAATGTGACTTAACGTTTATTTTATATTCAAAAATTACAAGTCTTTTTTTCACAACTTCACAAAAACGGACCTTTTGCAAAATGTCTGGACTGACCCCTTATTATGAGAGCATTTTTGATTGGGTCGTACAGAAAAATTTCATAGAGAAAAAAATTCATATTGTCCTTTTCACTGGTGTGTTTTTCATATTTATGCATGCATTCTTATTTAGTTATCTTTTTTACTTGCCTGCATAGATTCTCCTTCAAGTGGAACAGTGCCACGTCATCCTTCGAATGATTATCCTAGAAAATCCCTGTCTAATTTCTCCACTCTACAGCATGGCCATTCCAGAACCACTGATTCTAAACCTTGGTAAACTGTTATTCATCATTATTTTACTCAATCCACTTAGAACCAAACAGTTTTTTCCTTTAAAAATTTTTTTAATCGATAAATTTTCTTGTATTAATATAATTTTTCTTCCTCTTTTTTGCAATTACAGTCAAACCTCGATATCTCGAACTTGAAGGGAGAGGAGAAAAAACTCGAGATTTCGAATTATCGAAAATCGCATGTTATTGATGGTAAAATAAAGAAAAATGCTCTTTACATACCTTATTTACTATTCCATATTTATTTTAAAAACACTTTTTGCACTTTCATTTAAAAAAAGATTCAATTGTTGTTTGCTTTGGAGATGTGTAAGAAAGTTTGTCTATAGCACTTTCTAAGTGGTCTATAGCTTTAAATGTCACCTCTTGACATATTCGGCTGCCTCTCAATAAATCTCCTTACTGTGCCCACTGCAGAAAGTGCTTGTTTGTTAGTAACATTGAGCGGTAAATCTTAGATTTCCTCATCCTCTTTGTCTGATAGTTCACAAGAAGCTTTCGTTTGAGCGATGATATCATTGTCATCCCACTGACTGCATCATCTACCTTTACAAAGTCGTGAAATTCCATGTCATCAAGCTTCATGTGTCCGGTCAATCTGTTCCAATCATTTTCAGTGTAGTTTTCAGCAGAATTAACGATATTAAATGTTTGTCTACTTTTGTGATCTTTAATGAATCCAGAGGAAGATGCCTTGTCAGCCATTCTTAAAATTTTTTATTTTGTGGAATATTTTTTAATTTTAGGAAAAAAATCTACACTACTTATGAAAAAAAAATTTGTGAAATCAAGTTTTTTTTAACATTGAGTGTATGGAAAATTTGAATGGAATTTTTTTTTCTTCCAGATATCGAAAAATTTGTGAAATCGAGGTTCGACTGTATAAGTTTAATTGCTTATACGTATTTATTTATTTTAAATTAGCATAAATCTGCAGTTTTTAAATGTTTATGTGAAATTCAAGTTTCCACAAAAATACTTATGTGGAAAAAAAAATTAATGTGAGAAAATTTAAGATAAAAACACGAGATCTCTTAAAATAGAATAGATCATCACTAACACCATGTTCTGTTCAATTTTTAAAATTAGCTAAATCATGTATAAAATTTCTTTATTTTTATTTATTTTTTCTTCACATACTTGTTAAAGATGCATAATGCTTGCTATAGACAAAACAGTAAATAAGATTAATGTGTTTTTCTTCATTTTTTCAATTTAATTTTAAATTTATTTATTGTTATTTAGGTAAACAAATTTGTGTTGTATTTATGGAATATGCTTATATTCCTTATTGCATTATTTTCAAATCGCAATTTTTGTAATCAATTTTTTTTTCAAAAAAAAGGTAGTTTAAGAAATATATTTAAAATTTACTTATACAACATTAAAGAAAAAAAAGTACTGATGTGTCCTTTTTTTTCTTTCTTAATGCTGCAATACAACAATAAGAACATTGTTATATTTAAAGCTCCATTATGTTAAAATAAATGACAAAAAAAGTAGCTTATTCATTTCATTATTTTATTATTAGAACAAAAGCATGCATTTACTATTAAATATGTGTTTATTATGTATCCTATTTATAAATTTTATTTCTTTTAATTTTATTAAACAATGATATTAATGTGAATAATGTTAAAATGTGAACTCAAGGGAAAAATTTATTTATTATTTTTTTTTGCATGATTTTTGTTACTTCCAAAATAAGATTTAGATATTAAATGCTTATTTGCATGTTAAAGGGTGTTGTAAAGTAATAAATAAGCTTATTTAAAATCTTCAGTTATTATTTACTGTTTTATCATATTTGCATTTTAGTGAAACTCAAGAAGGAATATTTTTGAAATCTTTATTTAAAATATTAATAAATGGTTGAAAAGATGTCTGTTAAATGCTTTTTAATGGTCTGATTAATTTTAATTTAGCACTTAAAATATTATTTAACTTATATTATGGCACTTAAAAGGTTATTAATATTATTTTAAATATTTAAAAAAAAACAGGTTTAAACTAATGTCTGTTTTATACAACAAAATAAATTTGTTTTGGAAAGAACAGGTTTTACTAATATAAATGTGGATAACAGTAAAGGATAGAGAGAAGAGAGGCCAACACTGTAGAGCCATTTTCTTTTGTGTTTTATGTGTTTGTTCATTTGATTGGCATCAAGTATTTATGAACACTGACTTTATAAATTTGATTATTTAAAAGCACAGAATTTTTTTTTTTTAGTGGATAAAATTTTGGACCCACCTTTTCATCATAAAAACTGATGTTAAAAATCAAACTATTAAGTAATAAGCTAAAAAATGCTCTAACATTACGAGGGAAGAAAAAAATGCTGCATGAAGGGTTAAATTACAGAAAGTATTGAATGTCTTTGTAGACTTGTTGAATACTAATCATAATTTTACTCAAACCCATATTTTAATAGTTAGAAACCCATATTTTAATACAGTGAAACCCCGATTTTACGTTTCTCAGGGGACTGGGTAAAAAAAACGTAAAATCCGGGAAAACGTAAAATACGGGAAATACTTAGATAGCAAAAAATCATATAATAATAATGGGAAAATAAAACAAACTAAAGGTAGTAAAGATGACTCTTTCAAAAGGTACTATTAAAATCTATATTTTACGAAAAGAATATTAGTATTTAAAGAAAAAAACATACCAGTTCAAGATCACTTTTACAATTTTTGTTAAGAATCATGTAATTTAGGTGCAAAATAGTGCGTAATAGTAGATTGTTTTTTAGACATTGAGTTCAAAGTAAATGCCTCATCTTCCAGGACTGAAATCTTTTGCAAATTTTTTTCCTGGTCTTTGTATGATAGAAAATAGTCTTTCACTATTAGCAAACTTCTCAATGCTGTGTTGAAAGAAGGAACGGGCTGTGCTTCTGTTTCTTCTTGTTCATCTTCATCGGCGGATGAAAAGTCCATAACATCGTCCACGGATGGAGCAGTGGTTCTCTCAGCTTCGCATGTTGCTAAGTTTTCTCGGATGTACTCGTCGAAGTCATAGCTAACTGTTTCATTGTCATTCTCCGAGTCTAGTCTATCTAATCCTGCATCTGTTAACGGTTCATTAGAAGCTACGATTCCGCTTTCTTCAAAACAGTGGGAAATGCACTTTTGTGTAACGCTTCTCCAAGCAGCAGAAATAAAATGCATAGCCTCCAGAACACTTAACTTTAGTTTGCAGGCGTCATTTAGGTTTCCGTTCTCTAGTTCAGCTACAGCTTTCCGGACAAGTTGCTTTCTGTAAAAAACCTTAAATATTGCTTATTAAAACGTTTTTTTATTTTTTTTCTTTCTACAAAAAACGTAAAATGCGGGAAATTCCGTAAATTAAAAACTTACAATCCGGGTAAAATTAACATTGGAGGTATACGGAAAAACTGGGTCCTGATGAAAAAAACGTAAAATGCGGGAAAAACGTAAATTCGGGGGACGTAAAATCGAGGTTTCACTGTAGTTAGAAACCCATATTTTAATAGTTAGAAACCCATATTTTAATAGTTAGAAAGCAGTTCTATCAAAACTTTAATGAGTTATTTTCTCATTTGTAACCCTCCATATTTAATATATTTTTGCCCTTACTATTTACCCATTTGGATTTTTTCAAACTTTAAATTACTTTTCAAGCATTAAGATGGCGGTTTTCCAACATAAAAAAGTTAATTTTCCCCTTTCTTGTGGTAAAATCTCTCAAAAGCAAAATATGTTGACTTCTTCAACCTTAAGTACCATTAAAGTGTTAAAACCCATTTGTAACCCAAATGTATCTTCTGTTTTAATTTTTTTTTTTAAGGATTATTCATTTGAAATTTTCTTTTGTTATTCAATAGAACAGGAATTCTGCTCATGTACTATAAGATCGTCGAATGAGCACATAAAATAAGTTATGACGTATCTCCTGGGACGCTTAACTTTCCAGCGCAATAAAAAATCGTTCGTCAGCATTTTTTTCTTCTTAATGTATGCAAGATTATGTAGGCAAAATTATAACCAAATTTTTAATAATAAGCACAAAAAAAAATTTCTTTTTCTTCTTTAGCTGAGGAAGAAAATAAGAATAATACTGATTATCGGATTACACAATTGCATTTCCTTGATGCAGAAAATTATAATTTTCAATCGCTAGAAAGTTAATTATCTAATGTGCACAATGCCTAGTTTAACTTATTTTGCTACTATATTTATTTTAATATAAAGATTAAAAAATGTTTTTACAGTCAGCTGATATGTTTACCTTAGTTGTAGTAGTACTGAATTTTTTGCCGGTTTAAATATGTTAATTTTCGACAGTAAATCAGTCCAAGAGCCTGAATCGACTGGAAACAATACAGCAACAGCAGAAACTCCTCCTCCTAAACCCAGTCGAATTCCTTCAAAAAAGTATTCAACGACTTCGCCTTACTCGAGTGGAGCAGAGAATGTTCTTGGTCATAAATCAGGTATTCCATTTCCTTCCTTTTTTTAACATTATACCAGGATATTGTAATTGCAGGGCTGCCAACTTTCTACGCATTTTGTAAAAGTTTATTCTAGTGGTAGCTATGTTTGTGTTATAATGTATTATTTTTCATTCATTAAAACTTATATTCCACACTACTACATATAAACAGGGGGGGTAGAGTTTGTAAAGAGTGCTTAAAGGTGCTTATTTCTGATTTAGATTTTTTAAAAGCCCTTAATGGTGCGTTTTTTATTTAGGGTTTGTAAAAAATGCTTAATTTTCTATTTTTTAAGAAGACATTTTTTTTGCCATATCGATTGTTATTCTATATTACAAAAAATACATGATTTTGACAATTTTCTTTGCAATATTTATCAGGAACTAGTTATTTTATCATGATTATGTAAAGTTTTTGAAAATGTTTTTGAATTTTAATGATTTTATGTTTATAAATTAAAAAAAGAATTTTTATTACTGCACAGATCCTAATTATGATTTTTTCTTTTGGAAAGTGATTAAAAATATTTTTTGAGTGCTTAAAAAGTACTTAATAGGTGCTTATTTTTTGTTGAAAAATCCAGCTACGCACCCTGATAAGATTTAGAAAAGTTCATATGCAAGGCCGCTGCTCTTTCGTGGTGAGGATGTGACAAATGTACCAAAAATTTTGAAAGATTTTATTTTTAAATGTCCGCTACTCTATAAAATATTTCACGAAAAGTGTAGTAGTTTTCAGGCTTTTAATCGTGATCACAGTTTGTACATTTTATGTTTAATTTCAACTTCCTTGTTTTAGATCTGAAGTATTGCAGAATATAAAAAATTATGTATCTGCTCACACAATCCAAAAGTGTCTGCAGGCTCCTAATATTTTTTAATACAGAATGTTTTTATTGCAATACAAGAACATTTAACTACTTAATATTTGTTTATTCCTAATGAAAAAAAAATATGCATGCACATTAACAGTAAGAACATTAGAGGAAGATTAATATCAATAAATGTAAATCAATGAATCAATATCAATAGATAAAATAAAATTAAAGAATTGAATTCATTTTAACACTATAGCCGTATAAACGTACCATAGCCATACAAAAGACTGGTTGTTGTATTGTATTGTGTGGTAAAGTGTTTGTACGTTTAGTGATAAATAATTATTATATCATGAATTAAGTAGTATTAGTAATTTTGCTTCTGTAATTCTTCACCTCAAAATCCAAATTTAACTTAGCGTGTCAAACGTGGCCAATTATGTTTCATTTTTATTTACGAACGAAATTACTTTAAAAAGTTTTTCTAATGTCGCCATAATTGTTTATTTTTGTTGTACAGCGACAGTGGTGTCCATTTATTTGCTAGCCTGCTAATTTTTAGGCTAAGTGAGCAGTTTTATCTTTTTTCATCAGTAGCAGCATGCATACAGCCAGACAATCTTCTTTTACTTCCAAACTTCTTTTTTTTTTTCAGGGATATTTTTTTTTAATATTACAAAAAATATTTAAAAAAAGTTTTCACAAAATTGGAAAATCGCCTACCAATGTACCCACGCATGGTGTGCATCTATGTTATCTAACTAGGATTTTGAAGAACAGTGAACACTTGTAGAATGACTGGAAACATTTAAGCATCTGATGATGCTCTGTTTATTTAATAAAATCGTATTTTAACTCTGAATTAACTTTTTTTCTAAAACATAGCATACATATATAAGAGATGGTATTAAGAAAAATATTAAAGTTGGAGGAGAGGGCTGAAAAAAATATATTGATGAAGTTCACAAAATTGTTACTTCATCAATGACCACAAAATTGTTATCTAATTGTTCTTCTCACTGTGATGAAGACCAATTCTATATTCTTTTCTAAGACCAATTCTATTTCTTCTATAGAAGACCAATTCTTCTCCCATATTTTAGATCATAAACTGCATGATTGAAGAATCTAATTTGATAAGAAAATATAATTTATGTTTGAGAATTAGGAACATCATTGATTCTATGCAACAGTTATCAGGAAATTTATGTTATTTCGTGAAATCTACTGGATTTTTTTCTCTCCATGTTGACAGCTAAGATAAATAAAAACGTAACCTATTATTTTTATTTGTAGAGAAAAGGATTAAATGAATGTTAATTTTTAATAACATTAGTTTTAGGAAATCAGTTTTTAAATGATAAGAAATATATTATGCATATTTTTCCATGACAACCACTGTCTTTGATATTGTTATCAATCATCACAATAATAATTCCTTTGTAGGTGACAACACTGTTTCCGCTCCTCACCTTTATTCGGAGCTGAATTTTGCTGTGAACGGTATGCAGAAAGTGATTGGACAAGAAGGGGAACATTCCAACATTCTCAAAATCCTAACTGTCGAGAGAGAAGATCCTCCGAGAGAAATAACAGTTCCAGAAGTCAATCCTCCTTCTAGTTTTGATTTGGAAAAGTTCACCACTGTGCTGTTGCCACCTTCCGACAACAAACCTCTGGATTCTGCAGCTCTGGCTAAAATGAGATGCATGATTTTGGAAGGTGGGGCTAAAGTGATAGCAAGTCACCTAACTAAAGTGGATCTGGACGTTCTCAGGATGAGGCATCATTGTGATCTCGGAATGGGTGTTTTAACCGGGTTTGAGTTACTGGTGCTGCCACAAGGACAGCAATTGAGACTGGATCTGCTAGAAAGGTGAGATTTCCTCTGTCGAGGATGAGTTTTTTCGTTTTACTTTTTTGGAAATTTTTTTTTTATTCAGGGGTTGCATTCCCCATAAAATATGTGCAGCCCCTAAAACTCCTAAAAATGCACTGCACATCTATTTCAGATTATATGAAATTATTCTCAAGAATAATAAACATTTTGTTTCTTAAAATGGCATGTCTCCATCCTTTATAAAGAATTTAAATGTTCACTCTCACGTTGTTTCGTGCATAACTGAATGCTTGAAATTTTTTGCAAAGGTACCATCATGACGTGTGGTGAAATATTGCTACGCTAATAATATGTGCATAAATGCTTTTCTGACTATTAAGGCTCAATTTCCTATATTGATGGTCAAAAATCCAAATCTGTCAACAACAAAAAATCTTTCTCTATATATATGCATACCTATTCAGAGATAATCGGGTTTAATGCACAGGGTGCATAGCGTTTTTAAAAAGTGCTTGAAATTGCTTATTTTTGATTTAAATTTTTTTAAAGTGCTCTTTTTATTCGGTGTATATAACAAATGTTTAATTTTGATCTTAATCTAATTTGATATTGAGCTTAATATTGATCTTGGCTTAATCTTAATTGAAACAAAAACTTAATCTTTAAAAAAGATATTTATTCTTCGCCGTATCGATTTTGTTATTCTAAATTACAAAAAAATGCATGATTTTCATAATTTCCTCTGCAATATTTATCAGAATCTAGTTATTTTATCATGATTATGTAAAGTTTGTGGAAATATTTTTGGATTTTGTTGATTTTATGTTCATAAATTATGAACTTTAAACGGTAAGGGGGGGGGAGAATTTATTACTGTACAGATCTTAAGTTTCTTTTTTTTTTTTGGAAAGTGATTAAAAAATTTTCTTGGTGCTTAAAAAATTCTTATTTTTTGTTGAGAAATCTGACTATGCACCCTGATGAAGTTTGTGTCTGATTTTGTAAACTAAAATGTATCTTTTGTACTGAATAATTAGTATCTTTAGGGTTAGGCCTTCAAATCATTAAGATTGAATTTCAGTTCATGAAAATTCGATCATTAGATAAAAAATTATTCAAAATGCTCGCTTTTTAATTTGTGCACTGCACGTCTGGTTTAGTTCCTAGGAAATTGTTCTCAAGAATAATAAACACTCTTAAAATGGCATGTTTATAAAGAGTTCATGTTTCTTTCAGAACTGAGTGCCTGAAATTCTATGTAGCGGTCACCATCTTGACGTGCGGTGATGAGGAAGTGAGAGCTCAGGTGTTGAACAAGTGGATTCAGATTGCAATTGAAACAAAAACAGCTCTAGGCAATCTCTATGGATTTACTGGCATTATGCAAGGACTGGCACTGGATCAGGTCTGTTTACATATCATTTCACACACACACACACATATATATATATGTATATAGTTCAAAATGTAGAGAAAACATGGAAAAATTACGGAATAAAAAAGGGAAAATGAAGAATAAGAATAAAAAATTCATAAAAAAAATTAGCAAAAATCATGAAAAATTAAAATTATTATTTTTTTATCAGCTCACACAATTGTATCCATAAAAAGGAGCGCTTCAAGAATGATTTAAAATATTTTCGTAGCAAGATTGCTAGATTACAAAATATGAAAACAGAAGCTCAAATTGAGGTAAAAGCATAAATAGAGGTGTTTTGTTTTATAGTGTGTTCTTACTGCAGTACTGAATTGCGTTTGATTTTCGCAGATATAATTGTGTGACCTAATGAAAAGATTATATCTTTTATTTTCTGGATTTTTATTAATTTTTTTACAGATTTTTATTATTAGTTCAAAAAGTAGGGAAAACATGGCAAAAATTACAGAACAATGAAAATAGGGAAAAATAAAAATAATACAAATCAAAGCAAATTGTTTGGCTATATTGTTACAATATTAGAAAGCACTCCTTTTTTGCGAATATAATTGTAGGAGTTGATGAAAATATTATTTCTTTTATTTTCAGGATTTTATTAATTTTTCTTTTTCTCTTCATTGTTCTGTAATTTTTTATAAGTTTTCTCTGCTTTTTGAACTTATCTTTATGAGTTCTATTTACTTGCAGCTTATGCGCAGTAAATTAAACTTATTGTTTTTCTTTATTTTCTTGTTTTTTTTTCTTCCTGTCCCTTTTGTATTTATTTATAATGCTATATAGATAGGTTACATACACACATATATATATTTATTAGATCATATTTTCTCACATGTAAAGACTTTTCTTCTCTATTATCCTTAATTATTGAGCAACAAGGAATTATTTTTCCTCCTTTTGAAATCTGCTACCCAAAACAATTCATCAGGCAAGTATAGCGCTTGACTATCGTAGTCACTGAAATGCAAGGTAAATTTTCAGTGAATTTTAATTTTTCGAAAAGAAATTTCTGCTGAAATTTATCTCTAAAAGAACTCTGCAGAAATTCCTACATACAGGGCTGATTGTGCTCCGGAAAAAATCCGGATTTTTCTCTAACCGTGATCTGGAAGTTTCCGGAGATCAAAGGTTCAGACATTTAAAAAAATCATTGATCCCAAAAGTTTCCAGAAATCAAATTTTCAAAGGTGGAACTTAAAAACACAGTTTATTTTATTTGTTTGTAAGGGCGAGCCAGATAAGCTTATATTCAAGATTAATATTCATTTTTTATCAGTAAATCGTTATTATAATCATAAACTCAAGAAAGACATATTTGTAAATTTCAATTACTTCTGCAGGTCATCATAGGTATGTGCAAGATTTTAAATATATTTTAAGTAAACTAAGAAATATTGAGAAAAAGGAAAAAATCATTTTTTGTCTAATTTTTTTGATTTAAACTTCTATTTTTTTTCTTTCTTTGCTCAAGAAATTTTCCTGAATTTTGACTTGGGCTCACAATCATAATGTTTGTAGAAAAAATAGAAAAGTTAATAAATAGAAATGTTTTCAAATATAGACTATATTTTTATAAATCTCATATTTTCTTTAGTGATTTTTAATGCTGACGAATTTTATCATTTTAATTCTGCTCTACCGTTATTTTTGTTTGATCAGCATTTTTATTTCTTTTGAGCATTAATTCTTTAAATATTATTTCCATGTTACAATATTAAGTTTTACCTGTATTTCAAATTGAATATTACCAGAAGTTATATTATTAGAATTAATTGAACATTTCCCATCTATTACGAGGTATCTATTTTTGTATCTGAGGCCATTTGTGAGTTGGGGATTAGAGGAGGCCAATGATGGAAAGAAATTAGCCATTCTTATAACACCGAATGACCTTGAAAGTGGATTTAGATGCAGCAAATTTATAGAATTCAGTGTTCTATATTTTCAACATGTCTTTGTGATTGTCGAATAGGAAATTTATTGTTCTAATGAATACTTATTTTGTTCTCGATAAAACATAACTAAATTTTATCTGTATCAATACATTTTTGTTTAGTTGTTTCGATAATTTAAGAAAGATTTTATTCAATCTTCCTTTTTAAGTATTATTTCATATGTTTTAAACTAAATTGAAACACCATGCATTTCTTGCGTTTACCTTTTTCTACTTTAAATTTGCAAATAAAATAAAAGTTTTTGAACTGTTATTTTAAAAATTAAGGTTTGAACTAGTATTTTTAAAATAAAAGTTTTTGAAAAAAAACCGCATGATTGCATTTGGATTGTAGGCAAATTTTGATTTATGCAGGAAACTCTACAGAATAGACTCACTAAATTCTGCTCCTGAGTTAGGTACTAATAATAATGTAATAGTTAGCTACTATTTTATCATTTCGCTAAATGATGACAGCAATGTTTTTAGAACATCTTTTATTATTATGCTTTGTAAATTTTTAAATCAATTATACTGATAAAAAAATGTGATACTAAGTCCATTTAAGACCCTTTTAAATTACTTTTGGTAATGAATTATACTTACAAAGCATTGTGATAGTTATAAGAAAATGTTTTCAGATCTCAAGACTTCGATGCACGTGGTTGAAGTTAAGGCAGGCGTGCACGGAGAACGCTTTTACGTACGAGACTAAACTCAGGCCAATGCTGAAGAACATGCAGGAATGCTCCAACCCTCAAGCTCCCAACACAAGCATTCCTTACTTAATGTCTCTCATTCATATTCTGCAACACTTGACTGAACCTGAAGAACCAACCATTCCTTTGGAGAGTTTGTCCTCTTCATCGCACAAAGAGAAAGGTATGCTCATTTTAATGCTGAAATTTGATTTGGGACTGGCTTAAATTAGAAATATTTACAATGTATTTTCACTTTCGTAAGACTGCCGAGCAAAGTCATGTACTCTTCCCAGTTAGCACTTGTTTCATGGAAAGAGAGCTGTGAATTTCCCCAGTTAAATTATTCTTTCACAATTGTTTTTGTCCATAGAACGCTAAATGTTAGCAAAACCCTAACTTTATAAATAAAGTTCAGTAGCAAGTATAACCAAATGTATTATTTTGATGAAGAAAAACTATTTTTTGTTAAAAAAAAAAAATATTTAATCTGAATAAACATGTTTTCCCCTTTGTTTAATAGTTCTAAAATTAGAACGATTGGCACCGCATCTAGTTTAGTTCTGAATTGGTTTATTCTTTCCCGCTACATAAGCTGACAGTGGGACACCTTTTGGTATTTGCTGTATCTTATCACTCGTGTCAAAATCTATTTTGCACTAAAAATTATATCCTGTATAGTTTATTATAAATTATGTCTCAGATTATTAAATTAATTTGTAAGCTTTACTTAACGCCTGATCTCAAGGTATGCAGGTTTAAAATTTACCTTATTTATAGATGCAAATTTCATTTTAGGTAAAGTGCTGAGCCTGGGACTTCCGTGGGAGCAGACTGCGGCAGACTACGGTCTTCAACTTCTGCTGACTCACTTGGAGGTGGGGAGGGGCATGACGCAGCAGTGGCCGATGTACAAGAGGAACAGCGAGATAGTGCTGGAGCACATAAAGTATGATGATTTAATGTTGGACATGTTCAGGACTGAGTTCCACATGAAGTTTCTGTGGGGAAGTAAAGGCTCACACGTCTCTGCCAAAGAAAGATATCTCAAGTTCATGCAAGTTTTAAATGTCATGTCAGATCGATGCGAACCCTAGCTTGCTGCTCTCTGTGTTCTGCTTATATGATGGGGCAAAACTAGATCAGGTTGTAGCATTTTAAACATGCAGCCACTTTTTAAACAGTTACATTTTTTAAGCATTTATCAAAATAGGGTAAACACTGCATGGTTCATTTCTAAAATGCGAAGAAAATCTTTTTTAAAAAACTTAAATGAAAAAAAGAAATTTACAAAATAAAAAATATTTATAAAACAGTGAACTCTCGCTACTACGATATCCGATACACAGGGCTGCCACTCTAAAAAAAAATTCAAGACTGAGCTTTTTTTTGACCAAATAATACTGTCTAGCATTGTTTACCAAACCTCACTGAAACCAAAATTTACCATTCCTTGATAATAGCCTACATATTAAATCAATAATTTGATTATTTTTTCTGAAATTTTTTTACTTTATTTTATGTTTTTTTAGCAAACAAAACGAAAATAACAGCTAACCTTGTATATTTTTTACAACTATAACTGAACAACCTGAAACCATTCATATCTCTATTTTTCGCGTCATTGTTACTTATTTTTTGTTCTAGCACAATAATTTCTTTCTTCTTTAAAAAAATATTCTTGATTTAACTTTGACTAGCATGACAGTTGGTTAGGGTAGGGGAAGCAAACTCGAGCAGATTTAGATTCAGCAATAGTAAAAATTTAATGACACAAGTAGATGAAGTTTAATCAATCCCATTTATCAAAACCTTAAGAATAAGATTTAGTGAAGCTGTCAAAAAGAAGATAAATAATAATCTTGATATCATTACCATATCATATGTTTTAATTAATATATAATATTTTTTGATTTTGACCAAAAAATGAAAAAAAAAGGAAAATTTAATTTAATTGATAGAATTTATTAGTCCATTGATTTTTCTTAAGACTGATTTCAGTCCCCAGGACTGAAGAGTGGCACCCATGCCGATACAACAATAACTCACTCTATTACAGCAATGTTTCGTGGTCCCGGCAAACTTGCATACGAATTAATGTTATCCACCTCTCAATATTGCAATACAATAAACCCCTGAAGAAAGATTTTTTTTTTTCAAATTTCAACCTTATTTTCCAGATATATTATTGGTTTTTAAATAATGTAAAAAATCTTATTTTTATATTTTGGCATTTTTTTCCGTTCTTTTCTAACAAGAGAAGTCCCAATGCTGATTATAAACTTATCTTATTTCTTTTCACCACAGTGAATGGCTTTTGTATTCAGATTTCAATACCCCAGCCTTGATGTACACCCCAAGACTGTTCCATTCTTAGAATCTCTTAAGAAGTCACTGATTTCATAGTTAACCATAATTAACATTCTCCAAATTATATTTTTATATAATATATAAATAGATTTATAATTAATGCATATTTAACATTGAAATTTTTTAAAAATCTTATTGCGTCGCAAAGGCCCTCGATATAATAAGATATCCCTCTAAAACACTCTGTTTATTGGGTCCCCAAAATATTGTTGTAGCGAGTTTTTATTGTAATTCCATATTTTGTAAGAAAAATAAATGATAAAATGTACAAAGGATGCATTTTCAACTAGAAAAGTGGTCATCGGCAGGCAATTTTTTTTCACTATTTGTTATATGCGTGTGGCGACCTTTAATTTTGCCCTTTAGCCTATACCAGCAATTTTTTCCATTCTAAACAAATTCAGGGTTCCTAAAGAGTATGAGAATTTGATTTGGGGGGGGGGTGTTCTGGAAATAATGCAATTTTTTGTCAAAATCTGGAAACATTTTGCAACAAAACTGAAAAATAATCCATTTCTGATGACAACCAGGGGAGCAATCCTCTCTGCAGTGGATCAGATTGCGATGGCATGTCTTCAGATCATCTTCAGGGATGTTGCCCAGACCATCCTCAATGGCCCGTTGTGCAGCTCTAGTGCAACATAAATTAAGTACTTACCTAAAAATATTCAGGGTTTCGTCTTATCTTATTGTAAAGTAATTTGTACAATGTAGGAGTTGATTACAACATCAGGCACGAATACTGGAGATGTTAAGTGGTTAGCCGAAACCGCAATGTCGAGTGCCCGATACTCATTTTATCGACACACTGAAGGGATGGATTATTCCCCAATTCAAATTTTCTAAACAGGTGCAGGGATCTGTTTAGAAGAATATCTTTTCATAAAAACGGACCCTTCACTAAATAATGTATATTTTAATCGGACTCTTCACAAATTTGATTATCTTCATTATTGTTTTCTTAATCGAATATACCCTTCCTGAGGGGGGGGAGACGGTTCGAGACAAACTAAATTTAAATTCCCAATGTAGTATTCTAAGAAAGTATTTCTACTTTTACAAACATCAAACGTGCATTAATATTAAATCATAATTTTTTTGTTGATAAATAATTGATCAATTTATATTTGTTCATAAAATTAATTAATAGAATATTATGTAAATAAAAATTAATTTCAGGCAATTTTTTAGACAAAATATTATAAATTTTAGAATTGTTTAAGTTTACTTACTGCGTAACACATTAAAATTGATACATTTCTAAGTTATGTTGTTTAAAATACGTCAATTGAAATTATTAAAAATGTGAGTGATTTTGTTTCCATTATTCGTCCGAAATCGTGTGTTGAGCAGTATAGGCTAAATACCAAACATTTGTATGTTGCATCTCTAATTTAGTAGCAGCAATTGTTGAGCAGAATCTTTTATTTATTTACAATTTAAAAACGTCTTGAAAAGGTTTTCAGTAGTTTTTGCAATAACAGGATCCTATTTGCAAAAGCAGGACCCTGGTTGAAGGAATGTGACTTACCGCTTATTTTATTTTCACAATTTTGCAAAAGCAGGACCTTTCACAAAATGTCTGGACTACTCACCCCTGAGAGGAGTTGTTAACAAGTGTCATTAAAATTGTTTTCTGTTAACAAATTTATAGTTTGAAAGGGAAAATGTTGCTGGTATATAATTAGTATATAGCTTGCTACATTAAAATAGTAATGTGATGCATTGTTTCTAGTCAAATGTGTATATAGATTTTGAATTGTACATTTTGTAGTATATTTTCTTTTGTAAATGGCATTTTCTCTTTTTGTAAATGAATATCTCTAAATAAAAACTCTTCAAAGCTTTTGACATTTGTTTCACTTAATTTTATTTCTTTTCTTCATAACATTGAAAAAAAAATTATTTCAGTAAATTAATCATGATTTGTACCACTATAAAACTGAATAAACTTTTGTGTCTTTTTTTTAGAAAAAAAACTTATCTGAAAACTGCAAAAGGGGATAAGTATTTCTTTTAATTACAATCAGTAAATTAAGTCTGAATTAATTTACCATTGGGACAGTAACACAATCTCTTTTATTAAATAAAACAGGCATCTCAAGGTTACTCACTTCTACCTTCTCTATTAAAATAATTACAGCAAATCTTGCTTTTTCCCCTAAAGCAAGTATAGTTAATTTCTTTCTAAAACATAACTACTTTTTTTTTACATATTATGCAGTATCGTGAAACAAAACTATTTAAATGACCAAAAAAAAATACAACCAAAAAAAAAAAAAAAATACACAAAATTAAAAAAAAAACTTCCTCTGCAATATTTCGGTGCAAAATATAATTATTTATGTGCGACATCATTAAAGTCATGACCCAGCATCCCTACTTGTCATAGTAAAACCTTGTAACCATAGTCATCACCACTACTCCAGATGAATGGTATGGGGAGTTCTTTACATAGACAAAGTACAACGCCTTGCAAAGTTTTATTTTGCAGTACAACATATCATTTAAGCCTAGCCAAATCTAATCTGATGGTGTAACCTATCATTAAGGCTAACTAAATCTTATCTGGTGGAGTAACATGTCACTAAAGCTCAGCAAAGTATACCGTCGTAATCTGGCATACCATTCATTAGTAGCTAAACGATATATAGTTATCAGTCCTACCATTATTACAAGATATAGCTGAGCCTCGGTTGTGAAACCTATCAGGACGTAGTTGATCAAGCTAAAATAGGGGTGCACAACCTTTTTGAGTGAAGGGCCACATGCGCAGCAGATTGACCAGCCGCATGCCAAAGTGAACACCCAAAGTATTTAGACAGACATATTCACTGCAATTTTAAGTAGTAATTGTTATAAAAACATTGTTCTAGCCACTAAATTCTTTTTCTAAGTTAACCTTGTAATATCTGAGCATAAAAATTAAATACTTTTAAATGTTTAAAGTTAGAAACTTCTAAACTGATTACTTAAGAAAAAAACAGAATCCGAAAATCAGAAATAATTAAAAAACTATGGGAAAATTCATGTTTTTTTTAATCATATTGCAAAAGTTCATTTAAACATGAATTATAACTTTAAAAAAATTTGTTCATAGAATGTAATTTAAAAAAAAAAAATTCTTAGTATTAAAATAAATGCAAGTTAAATACTTTGATTTAAAGAAAGTTTATNTTGATAAATTGAAATAATAAAAAAACTATGGGAAAATTCATGTTTTTTTTAATCATATTGCATAATACAAAAGTTCATTTAAACATGAATTATAACTTTAAAAAAATTTGTTCATAGAATGTAATTTAAAAAAAAAAAAATTATTAGTATTAAAATAAATGCAAGTTAAATACTTTGATTTAAAGAAAGTTTATAGGGTTAAAAATAATTAAAATTGAAACAAAACCCCTTTTGCGGAAAATAAGATTTAGAATTTAGTAGGGAATATACTTAAACTTTAAAACATTTATTTTAAACTAATTATATGAGGCAGGGGCAGAGAGAGGGAAGAAAAAGAAAGAAAGCATTAATTTTGAAGGAACTATTTTCCTTAATAATAAAAAACTATTCAGATACTTGTTTACAATTTTTTATGACGAATATTTTTTTTAACGTGACACTTACTATTTACAATTAATACTCATATGCCTAAACAATTAGTAACATTTACATTACTTTACGAAACTCATTTTGATTACATTTTTTACAGTTAAAATTTAATGATATACAAATCATTTCCCAGCATATAATCATGAATGATAAGAAATGGTCGAAGTATATAGAAAATGGTTAATATTTTTTAATAGTTTTCCTGTAATTTTTGCACATTTTTTAAATATTGGGATAATCTTATATATGTGATAGTTTTTTCGAGCCATTAAATGAAAATTTAATGATTTTGTTGGGTAATTTTGAACAGGCTAAATTTATTCTGGAAAACAGTTTTTCGACAGAAGCTGTTGTGGGTAGTATTAAATTAGGGCAAATAACTTAATGACTTTTGAAATGTGTCCTAGACAATGTTCTTCACTTCCAGATTTTTAAATCACGTGAATACAAATAGCGATGCGTTATCTTTTTAATTGCTTGAATACGAATTGCTATGTGTGATTTTTAAATTGCGTAAATAAAAAACGCAATGTGTGATTTTCAAATCACGTGAATGCGAATTGCGATGTGCGATTTTAAACTGCGAAAATACTACTCACAGTTAGACTTTTTAAAATGTGTGAATATGAATCGCGATATATGGTTTTTAAATCGCGTGAATATAAATCGCGATGTATGATTTTTGAATTTTGAGAAGAGTAACAACGTATGATATTTTAAACACCAGAACACGAATCGCGTGATGTAATTTTAAATCTCGTGAATTTGAGTCTCGATGGATGATTTTTGAATCTCGTTATTACGAAACTCGTTAATACGAAATGCGATGAGCAATTATAAGATCGCGTTAATACGAATTACGATGCGTGAATTTTAAACTACGAGACAAATTAAAACTTATGATTTCTGAAAAGTGTAAATGCGACCTGTGATTTTTAAATATTGTAACAACAAAAAGAATAGGTTGAATGTGTGATGTTAAACTTGCACTTGTTCATGAGACTAAAGATAAATATGCACTTGTTTTGAATTATATTTTACGATAAAGGAACGCGTTTGTTATAAATGTACACAATTTGTTTTTATTTTTATTCTCTTCAGGAAGGGATCGATTTTGCTAAGATACGTAATTACTATTTAAGTTTAAAAAAAAAAAAAAATTAAAACAGTATCGAATTTTAAGAGTTGTAATGTTGTGCTAAAATATCAGGATATTCTAAATCACAAGTAAACACGTAGCAATAACTGGAAAGAAAAAAAAACATGATCGAAAAACCTCTTATATTTATGTAAAAATCGGCCAGGGATCTGTTTAGAAGAAATTTCATAAACGTATATCATTATTGAATATCATTTCATAAACACCAACCCTTCACAAAATATTTTAACTTAAAATAGGACCACTCACAAAATGAATTTTCTTTTAATCGAACCCTTCACAAATTTATTTATCTTCATTGTTTTGTTAATTGAATAAACTCTTCCCAAGGGGAACAAAAATAAAGATGGATGTAAACGAATGAAGTTTTGTCTTCGGCAGACGCTTCTTCCATTATTCGTCCGAAATGAATATTCTGCGTTCAGCAGTATAAGCTAAATACCAAATATTTGTATGTTGCATCTCTAATTTAGAAGCAGCAATTGCTGTTTAATTTTGAAAATTTAATTTTTTTTAATTATAATTTTACAGTGTTAAGCATAATCTTGTATCTATTTACAATTTAAAGGCTCCTTGAAAAAGTTTTTTTGCAAAAAGGACCCTATTTGCACAAATTCATAAACGGACCTTTCACAAAATGTCTGCAGACCCCTGTCGACACAAATACAGCACGTAAGAAGTAATTATTTTAATGAGCGATTCAAAACTCGCATGTTGTCAAATTATAGTATTAAAAATATCATTTTTTTTTAAATCACGTGTAAAAGCGTGGTAATAACTATCAAAGAAATTATCAAAATCCCTTGATATTTACGGTGAAATTGGCGTAAATAAAACGCGTCAAAATTTTATGTATTTAAATGCGAAATTCTAAATTAAAGTATAGCAATAGCGTATAAAAATATCAGATTTTTCAAAACTTTGTAGAAATGTGTTACAATAATGGCCAAAATAACGATTGAAAAAAAATTTATTTGCGATAAAATCGGTACAAATAAACCACGTCCAAATATGGTTTATCTAAATGAGCGATTATTTAGTCCCGATTCTTAATATCGTGATAAAATATCCAAATTTTAAAAACCATGCGGAAATGCATGGCAATAACTGCCGATAAAGGATCAAAAGTCAATTAGATTTATTCTGAAGTTTGCACAAATAAATCGTTTCCTAACTTTCAAAAATCGCGATTTCAGAAAGGACGTGAAAATATAATAGCAATAACTACCGGAAAGTCATTGGATTTATGATGAAATCGGCGCACTTGTAGTGCGTCAAAAGTAATAACAAAAATTAGAACTTCGTATATCGTAATAATGATGTATTTAAAATATTCAAAACTATGCATTAATCTGTAGAGGTAACCATCGAAAAAAAGCGATCAAAAACTACATTGTTTGAAATTAGGTGCGTCAAAAAAATTAAATGCGTAAATTTCAAATTTATTTTGTTTTTCAAAAAAAAGAAAAAAAAAATATTTGATTTTTTTTTTTTTTTTTCATTTCGTTCAGATTGCGGTCGCGGGCCGCATTTGGCCCGTAGGTTGTGCACCCCTAAGCTAAAATATTTTTGATCCAGGCTTTAACTGTGCAAGAATATTCAGAAATGCACTGCTAAAAAACTTTTCTCCAGGGTCTGAAAAGAGGGAAGAGAATTAGAAAGAAAAACTTAAAATATAGTGTTGTGTTTTTCATTCGATGTATGTATGGAGCACTGAAAAAGGATCCATACCTGCCAACATAAGCGAATTTTTTTGGGTTGTGAGTCAATTTTTTATAAATCTTACATAATCGTGTTAGTCGAAAAGAAGAAATTCAAAATTGGAAATAATATTTACATTTAGCTAAGTAAAAAATATATATATATTACCGGCCAAGTATGAAACGCCGGCATTGTATAGAATGCCTGACGTTTTTAGGCAAAGTATGAAATGTGAGAAGTATTACATACTTTGCCTAGGCATTCTATACAATGCCGGATGCTATTTAGGCAAAGTATGAAATAAACGTCCTGATGAGGTTATTATGTAAATGATGTGCATGTTACTGTGAATGACCGAAATCGGTGGTTGTTGACTTTCACCGGTGAGTGTTGACAATCACATAGTCGCTTTGGTGAATGTCCGAAATATTTATTACATCCGATTTCATATTAATATATTCCTGGATATAATTACATTTATTCGATATTTTAATACTTACTGACGATAGATTAGAAGAAACATCAGTGTAGGGTATACCGGGCAATGGCACTTGATCTTAAAAAAACATCAGTGGAGGGTATGCCGGGCAATGGCACTTGACTAGGCCTTTGGTAAATGCCCGAAATATATGCTAGGTCTAGTTAAGTGCCACTGCCCGGTATACCCTACACTGATGTTTTTTTAAGGTCAAGTGCCATTGCCCGGTCAATATCAGTGTAGGGTATCTACACTGCCCGGTATAAAAAAATATCAGTGTAGGGTATCTACACTGATATTTTTTTAAGGTCAAGTGCCATTGCCCGGTATATATTTGCTCGATACTCCAAACACTGATGTTTATTCTAATCTATCGTCAGTAAGTATTAAAATATCGAATAAATGTAATCTATCGTCAGTAAGTATTAAAATAACGAATAAATGTAATTATATCCACGANATAAAAAATAAAAATTGATAATTTTATTTTTATTCTTTTGTTAGCTTGCATTCTGAAGGACACTTTCCCTGAAAATTTTTTTTCGTAAGTTGTAAAACAAACATAAAATATACTGGGGACATGAAAATGACTGTTTTTGTGAGAATGACCCATATATAAATCTTAATTTAAAGAAGATATTCTCCGATCACTAACACTAATTATCTCACCTTTTTTATAACCGTCATTGAACAGCTGACCCAATTTTCGGGTTTACGACTACTAATGTTCAACTCCGCAAATGTGTAATTTTGAACCCAATCCAGAAGTTGGATCAAGTATTGGGAGAAATTTGCCTTCGTGGAGATCTTTTTGATCGAACTAAACCCACATTTGTATTACAGATGGAGAGGAAAACCACCCACGGTTAACCTGACGACAAGGGTACCCCCACTAGGGATATTTTTACGTCAGCAGTGTGGCTGGGATTCCAAGCACGTTCACCTCTCTGGAAGGCGATATGTCCCCATCACGAATTTACTTCAATTATTATCACTCAACTGTACTATTGGTTGAGGGATAAGAGAAGTATTTTTGCCAACAGTGGATATTTTATCGCCAAAATTTTGTGTTTGAAAAATTTCTTCTACAAATACGGAGAAATTTGAGAATATGCGAGTAAACAGGAGGTATGGGGATCTAATCCACTAAGTTATGTATATAATTGTAGTAACAAATTAAGAAAATTTCACATATCTTAAGAAATCTATTGTGGCCATGGGCTGATACTTTAACAAGAAAAAAATTCTATTAAAATTTAATGTATTCCCGTTGAGTTCAAAACATGTTGGATTATTTGTTAAAATTTGGGAAACATTTAAGTAGCAGATAATAAGAAGTTTCATCCTTCAAAACAGATTTACTTTGATGTTTTGAACCCAGTCTTTCTTACTTGTGATTTGATTTCAATAACTTTTTTTTTTAATTTCAAATTATGTAAGTATGTAATTTTGAATTAATCTTAACAAGTATTCTAAAAATATATATTAAGGGCGATGATTTCAGCAAACCCTGTATGTTTATGTTTTCATTCACTTCAAAATAATTTTAGATTAACATTTATTTTCAAGTCTTTTTCGTCGACAAATATAACAATTCTGAACATTTCGAATTTTTATAACAAGTGAGAAAAAAAGAACAATAAAATTTTTGTTATTGCACCTGGTCTTATAATGGACAGCTCAAATTTCAGGATTTCTTTTGATAATCTATTTCAATTCGAATGGCGGTGTAGTTAAGACAAGGAACTACTTTGCTATTTAGCTAAGTTGTTTTTGGAGGAAAATAAAGATTTACAAATAAAATAAAAATATAATACTGAAATAATTAGTCCTCTATTTAATCAAAGTTAATAGCTAAAATCTTTCAACAAGAAATATGAACTTTTTAAGCACTATATGCATTAACAAAATGCAAAATAATTTTCAAGAACTTTACATGATCATAATAAAATAGCTAATTTCTGACAAAGAACTTCTTTTTTGATTATACTAGACATTATAAAATAATCGAGATTTTTCGGTTCGATATCAGAGGGTGGAAAATAAAGACTGAAATTGAAAATATGTTGCAAAGTGCAGCAGAGTTGCACATGCCAGTGCAATAATTTCGCCGAACCCAGCTCAGTAGACGCAGATGCGGACCAGCAAGGATTTTATCAAACATGTAAAATGATTGGCGCTTTTGAACGTTACGGACCGAATGTAATCTAAAATGGATTGCGGAAAGAACAATGTGAAAAGCAGACTTCTGCATAATACGTGACGAAAATCGACCTGGTAAAGAAAAAATATCTCATTTTGGAAAAGGGAAAATTAAGCACTTTTTAAAAACACCCAATAAGAAAAGCACCTTTAAAAGCTTTTAAAGAACTCGAGAATAAGTACCTTTAAGCACTTTTTTAAAAACGCAACGCACCATGTTAGTGTATAATGAATGAAAGGTACTATCACAATAAGATGATGACAACACACAATTAACAAGAAATAAAACATTTTATTGGACTTGTTTGATCTCTTGTTCTTTCTTTTTCCTTTCATCAACCTTTTGTTTTGCCTGAAAAAAAAAGAATCAGTAAGCAATTGATAGAAATATTTTCATTCCAATAGTTATTTCTCATTTGAAACCTTCTCTGAAAAGAACGTCTTAAATATCGAGTTAACAAACTATTGGTCACTTCACAAATTTACTAGGTCGAATAAAATCAAGTAAATGAAAAGCTATGCTGTAAAAAAAAGTAAATTAAACAATACTTTCATTTAAAAAATAATATATAGTGAACTTGTTCAGTGTTCTGATAAAAAATTGATAGCTCGTTTATATTGTACTCAAATTTAGCAGGTATTTAAATAAATGTTAAAAAAAAAATATTTGAGAGGTTAAAAAGTTATGACTTTTGATTAAAAATCAATTACTAATGCACATTATAACGATGCGTTAAAAAGAAGTGCTTTCACTTGAATGAATAATTTCAAAAACAGAAAATTCTAATGAAGAATTTAAATTCAGAAATTTAAACGTCTTCAATAATGAATGAAGTAAAAAAGATAAACATTTGAAAAATTTCAACATCATCATCATATTTGGCCAGACAGCTTAATGTGAGCAAATGGCCTTCCTCTGAAGATTTCTCCATGACGACTTCCAATTTTTCTTTGATCTCCAATTCTTTTGCATTGTATTGCAAGAAAATCAGACTCCACTGAGTCAGCCCATCTCAACGGCGGCTCTCCCTGCCCCACTGGGTTTCAAAAGCAGCATCTTTTTTATTGTGTTGTCATCACTCATTCAAATCACGCGGGCCATCCAATTCATTCTATTCATTTTTATATATTTAATAATATTGAGTTGTTCATAAATCTTGTACAGTTGAAAGTTAAATCTCCTTCTCCAGTTATTGTTTTCATTCACACCCCCAAGTATACTCTGCAAAATCTTTCTCTCAAATGTTGCGATACAATTTTCCTCCAGTTTAGACATTGTCCAAGCTTCAGAAGGGTATGTCAAGACTGGCCTGACAAGAGTTTCGTAGATTAAGAATTTTGTTTTTCTAGAAAGAAACCTAGATTTAATACATCTTCTAAGCCCATAGGCAGCCCTATTTGAGAGATAGGAGTTTTTTTTTTTAAATTTTATTTATTTCAGGAGCCAGTCTGTTGTCAATAGTAATAATTGATCCTAAGTAAGTAAAACTCCTTACTGTTTCATATCTGTACGAATTTATTTCAAGACATGGGTCTGGGACTCTGAATCGATTAGATGAACGGCAAGAAAATTAGTTATAGGTAGACAAGTGATTTGGAGAATATCTTCAATGTTATTTATAAACATTAACCGATTAAAAGTAGGAAACTGTAAACATGTAGAAAGATTCTACATATTTAATAATTTATAAAGCAATATTGCAATTTGCTAAAAAATATTTTTTCAAAGATTTTGCATATAGTGGAAAACTGCTTATACAGGATGTACCGTAAATGTTGGGGGAGTAGGGTACATCACAAGGATTAAGAATTACCTAGGAAACCATTTCCTATAATGAACTGTTACATAGTCTTCTTCGAACATCTTCTTCCTCGTCAGCGCTACAGCCTAGTGCAGCCAAGGTCTCAATTAGATGCCTCCAGGCAGAGTGAGCTTGAGCTAGATTTTTCCACCAGTTTATTCCCAACAATTTTAAGTCCTTCAAAATATTAGGTAATCTATATCTCCTTCACCAACTACTATTTTCCTTAACTGCTCCAAAAAATTAACCGAAGGATCTTTCTTTCAAAAATGAGTAGTCTATTTTCCTCTGTTTTATGAATTGCCCAGGTCTCGCTACCATATAGAATAATTGGTCTGATTAAGGTTTTGTATAGCTTTACTTTTGTACCAATGGAGAGAAATTTCGATTTTAATTGGTTCCTCAGACCAAAGTAGCACTTATTAGCCATCAAAAGTCTGTTCCTAACTTTAACCCTTTAAACATCAGGTACTTTTATCTCTTGATTTCTATTAATTATTTTATTTTATTTTTAACCGTCGTTGAAAAACCAACCCAATTTTTGGGTGTATGACTACTAATGCTCAATAACGGAGCCCTGCATTTTAAACCCAATCCAGAAGACAAGGTAACTCCTGGGTCAAAAAATTAAGAGAAATTTCTCTTCGTGGATGACTTTTGATGGAACTAACTTGCATTTGCGTCACATGGAGAGGAAGAACCTCTTACGGTTAACCTGACGGCGAGGGGACTCTAACCTGTGATCGGTCTACCACTGAGGATGTGTCACGTGGTTGATACAAGCCGGATGGGGAATTCGTATCGACCAACCATTACTGGGATTCAAACTGGTTCACCTCAATGAAAAGCATTCGCCTGTTTGCTCTATCCCCATCACGGCTCTTCTATTAATTATTCAAATGGGTACATTATTAGCTGTCTTATCGTAATTTAATAATATATGATGACTCACTGGACAAGCTCGCCTAATCATTAAATTAACAACCTATTTTAATGGAACTCTCAACACTAACATGAAATTAAAATATTATAGAAAAATAAAAGCGCAAAGGCAAACAAATCCATAATAGAAAAGTGCCCTTCGTAGCGTACAATGACATTCCTACGTAATTCTCAATCCTTATCCACTTCCCCTAGAAGTTTGTGGCAGCATTTACTGTACACCCTGTATATACATATGCAAACCCGCTACGATCAAACATTTAGAGTAAGTTATGCCTCATAAAATGTAACATTCCATTGAAAATTGTTGTGGAGAGTTCAATTAGGGTGTTTAATCATTATGGAAAATGCTTCATCAGACAAATAAAGGAAATCGATTGATTCTCCAGTGACCCTTCGTGTTTTCTGGCAGTTTTGGACACCCCTTGTCAGCAGCAAATCCCTTCCAAGACAATATCCCCATGTTTTAACTTTCATTGAAGAAAAACGCAAAACTAACCCCTGTTTAGTTGCGTGAACATAAAATTTAATTTCCCTCAAAAATGTTTCCAAGGTCTTTAAAATAGATACCCATAGCTGCCAACATGGATAGGAAAAATCCAGTAGATTTTATGAAACAATATAAATTTCATGATAATTGGTGCATATTGTGCTAAAAATTTTACACATAGGGAACATTAATCATCAAAATTGAAAAAAAAAAAGAAATATTTTCCAGTTATGATTGACGTTAAATGAACTTGAAATGTTATGTTTTACGTTTATTCTTAATAGTAATAGGGATTCAATTCATCAAAGATAGATAAAAGATTGTCTAATTAATTTAAAAAGGGAGTACTGAATAAAAATAAACTGTACCTTTTAGAACCTAAAAATGTTTTGAACTGATTTCTATAAATGAGGTTCATTTCATTATTTATTAGTAATAAGCATTTACATTTTCAAGCAAGCAAAAATTCTAATGCAATTTAGGGAACTTTCTGAAATGTACAAAAAATCAGGAAAATTTTTATTAAACCAGTAAACCAGGAGAAAATCCAGTAGAGTTGGCCATGAGACTCACCAGATATGAAACATAAAATGAATAATAAAGAGTGAAGGATGAGACATGCTTTAAATCATTTTTGTTTTCTTGTCTTGAGAATGGCACTTAAAACCATCTTGGGATTAGTTGCAAAGCGGCACTCTTCAGCATTAAGATCATGTGATTTTACTTTTCCCAATCAAACCACTGATAAAATGCAATGCATCATAATACTTAAAAACAATAATTAGGACTCTTAATATGTCCTACTAAAACAACTGCAAACTATTAAATTCGTCATTTAGATATCAAATGAATCAATTATTCTAAGTTACTCTTGGTCCTTCATTATTCAAAATATACTGCCGTAAGAAATTAAGACAGCAACGAGTGTTACACACGACCATGTGTGTGGGTATTACAACTGTTGAATGGTTATTTGTTTTGTATTGTAATAATGTATGTCAGATCATTGTAATAATGTATGTCAAATTAAAATAACTAATAAATTCGTCATTTAGATATCAAATGAATAAATTATTCTAAGTTACTCTTGGTCCTTCAATATTCGAAATATACTGCCGTAAGAAATTAAGACAACAACGAGTGTTACGCACAATCATGTGTGTGTGTGTATTACAACTGTTGAATGGTTATTTGTTTTGTATTGTAATAATGTATGTCAAATCGGTCTATTATTAAAATCGTTCAAGAGATAATTGACCCAGTCTGCAAATTCTCTTAATTTCTTAGACCAGTGTACATATATAGGTTGTATAATAAACTTCAATTTATTTTACATACAACTAACAATTTATTTTACATAACAACATTTAAATTCCAGTCATATTTGTTGGTCTTAATAGCATTGATATTTAAATCCCGACAAATATACTCACAGCATTTATTAGAGGCACAAGTTTCCCTTCTTCAGCCAGAATTTTTAAAAGTTCCATTATGAGGGGAAGATAATTATGTTTCCTACGGATATTTTCAACCTGAAACACGTTTTATAAATGAGTGATGATATTTCAACATGCATCATATATTCAATATACACTTGGTAATGATTTTTTTTCCCTAAATGAAGGAAGAAAAAAAAACACTAAAAATTATTAAGAATCATAGTGTTAAAGATAACCAAGTAATTATAAAAATTAAGAGATAGAAAAAATAAAGGAACCGCAGAACGAACAAAATTTAATTTTAAGCATTGGTTGATTTTCTTTTATTATACGTGTTTCATAAATTGTAAAACCTTGTACCCTGAAGAGACTCAGTATCCTCAAATGCCTTGCTGGAGCAAGATGGTGTTGCACTGAACGAACCTTGCTACAGACTTATCAAATGTTTATTCATCCCGTTTTGACTTATTGCTGCGAACAACTTGTTGTGCCGGGGGAAAAAGTTCTTGATTCTTTGGAAAAAGTTCAAAATCAGTCCCAGCGTATCATTACTGGGGCGGTAAAGACTACTCCGATTAATGCTATGCTTTTGACGACTGATGTTAGACCAATGCAATCTGTGATTTAGGAAAAAGCTATAATTCTCTGGGAAAAAATCATCAGAGTCCCTGGTTGCTTTTCACTTTGGAATGAGGCCAACCGGGACCTGAATAAAAATTTAAAGACTCAAAGGGGCTTTCTTCAGGGAGTTTTGCGCTTGAAAAATACTCTCGGAATAAATTATGATCCTGAATATCTTGTCCCAACCCAAAATCCAATAGATTTGAAACATTTCCAAACTAATTTGGATTTATGTCAAAGTGTAAATAAACACAATATGGATCCTGCTATTTTGAAAGTCTTGACTTATGAAGCGTTGAGCTCTTACTACCCTGAGCCAGAGTGGCTTCGGATCTACACCGACGGATCTCTTCTACCAGACAGTCCTAATGCTGGTGCCGGAGTTTTCTCCGAGGCTTTTTCCTTTTATGCCCCTGTGAGACAGGGATCTGCTTTTGATGGAGAGATGGCTGCAATCTAGTCCAGTCACAGTGTCATATTGATCTTTTTGAAAAAGCTGTTGTCCTGTGTGACTCAAGAGCTGCTTTGCCTGCCATTGCATCCTTAAATAATCCCTTAAATCAAGACATTTTGGATCGCCGCCTCCAACTTGAATACCCAGCATCCCTTAAGAAAACCATTGTTTTCCAGTGGGTTCCTGCCCATTACGGGGTTATGGGTAACTTAGCAAAAAAGGGGGCCTTAATTAATTAGACTTCTGTGCACATTATGCCCTTCTGTTCCATAAAACAGCTTATTAAGAGAACCTTTAAGACCTGTGCACGCGAAGAACTTCTCGACTGTACTTCTACCAAGTCTTGGAGGGCTACCATCCTAAATTTGCAAGATGACCCAAGACGAAGAGCGGTGGATGAATTCCGTTTGGCTACCGGTTGTGACTGTCTGCTGAAACATCTGTCTAGATTTGGTATCCTTCCTTCCCCGGTATGCACTCTTTGCAGTTCTGGTGAGGACATGGACTCAACGCGCCTTCTCAGCTGCTCTGCACTTTGCAGGAATTCTATCACTGAACGCTATTGGAAAGTTAGAGACATGTTGTGATTAATAGACTCTGTTGCAGCATCCTTTGTTTCTGTTCTTATTTTTATTAGATGTTTATGCATGCTGTTACTGTCTATAATCTGCCATTGGAAATAAAAAAAAATAGCAGGAATTGAAAAAAGAACAAAACTTTTATGCTTTGGTTAATTTGGCATTCGACTTACATTTTTTTATTATATGTGCTTGATAAATTGTAATTGTGGAAAGAATTCAATTAAAGCACACTTACTTTATATCGCTTTTGTTTTAATTCCTCTTCTGCTATTAACATGTGAATTTTATTAACTTCATCTAATGTCTCATCTACCTCCATTCCACCAGACTATGAAAAAAAGAAATGCCTCTTTTCAGAAAACTTATGTATAAATAAAGAAGAAAGTAGGAATGCACAACCACTTTTTTTAGACCACAAGAGTTAAAAATTGCAGCTGTTCAAGGGGTAAGGTGTATTTAGATCTGAATTGTAAGTAACATGTATATACAATATAACAAGTAAAAATTTACATTTCCATGTGACCTCAGGGCAGGTAAGCACTGAAATGGTTACAATCACGCTCAGAGTTGCACTTTAAAAAAGTAGGCTGACCAGTAAAAGAATTTTTAAAAAAATATCACTTTTTAATATTTTTGAATAATTTAAATATAATATAAATTCAAAACTAGTGAAGCCTGGACCCTATCTAGTACGGATAAGGCTATGTTGGGTTCCTTTGAGAGAGAAAGGGTCTTGAGAAGTATTTTCGGAGGAATTAAAAGAGAATGGTGCGTGGCTTAGGAGATCAAATCGGGAGCTTTATCTCTCATTGATTGAACCTGAGATTATTAACTTTATTAAAAGACAAAGAGTAAAATAGGCAGGCCACATCATCAGAATGTACGAAGACTGTACCACAAAAAGAGAGTTTTCAATGCCAAACCAAAAGAGGCAGGCCGAATTTGAGATGGATAGATAGCCTAGAAAAAAAAACCTTTTGGTCTTAAAAACTAAAAACTGGAAAACACTAGCAGTAAAAAGTTTAGTCTGGAAAAAACTTCTTGAGAAGGCCAAGGTCCCACCCTGGGCTGTCGAGCCATTGATGATGATAAATTTAAAAATCGAAACTCAGTGGCGTGACAGCCCAAAGAGGGAAAAGGCCTATCAGCTCATATCAGTTTTCTTGACCTTGGGCTCGGCGGTGAAGAAGCAGATGTACCGGTTGGGTGGTCAGCCGAACACAGAACTACCAGTGTTAAGTCCCCAAGCATGCTCGGTACTCATTTTGTCGACCCACTGAAGGGATGAAAGACTGAGTCAACCTTGCCTGGTCCGAGAATCAAACCAAGGACCTGTGGCACGATAATATAAATAAAATAATGAACGTAATTAAAAAATTTGTGTTATTATTTTTATTTTGAAGGAATTCCAAAAAAAAAATTCTATTAATTTTTGTTAATTTTTATTAATATTTAAGGTGGTGCATCCCTGGTCTAAAGAATAATAACTTACACTCAATTCTTCTAATCTTTTCTGGTAGAGCATTTTCCGATCAGATATAATTGCCATAAGATTAAAATGAATCTCTCCCTCATTATACCTGCAAAATATAACACACACATGTAAAACAGTCATAACAAATTTGAAAAAATATTTTTATTTTATTTTATAACCGTTGGCGAACAGCCGACCCAATTTTTAGGGTCTACGGCTAACTGGCGTTCAATTCTGTAGATTTGTCGTCTTGAACCCAATTTAGAAGACAAGATAACTGCTGGATCAAGTATTGGGTGAAATTTGCCTTCGTGGAAGACTTTTTGATGGAACTAACCCGCATTTGCTTTACATGGAAAGGAAAACCTCCCCCGGTTAGCCTGACAGCAAGGGGACTCTAATCCATGATCCGTCTGCCACTGAAGCAATTGCCAATGAGGTGTCCCAGGTTCGAATTTCAGCACTGTCTGATTAATATAAATTCTGCTCCCAGAGTGCTGATGTAAAAAAATCCATCGCAGTACTTAGAATCATTGGACACCAACTGTTGAAGGTTTTTTATCTCCACGTCACAGAAATGTAGGCTATGTCCATCAGAAAGTCCTCCGTAAAAGCTAGTTAGTCCCAATGCTTGGTTCAGGAGTTCCACTGTCTTCTGGGTTGAGCTCAAAACCACAAGGCTATGAAATCAAACAATGATAGTCTTAAACTAAAAACAGGGTCAACTGTTCAATACCAGTTATATAATGAAATACATAACAGCGATCAGAATGTGCAAGATTATTTGACATTTCAGAAATATTGAGGGTAAATTTGAAGTCATCATTATTCGCATCCCTCTTTTAATATTCATATCTGAAACATTCGTTTTAATACAAAAAATTGAGACACATTTCCACTTTAAATTTGATTTTTGTTATAGCTCAAAGTTGTGAGGTTTGAAATGGTTACATTTCGATATACAGCAATTATAAGGACTGCTTCATTAAGTTATTTTAATATCCACTAGAATGTTCATCCTAATATAGATATTTCATTAAATTTAGAAAATTTTGAAAAAAATTATTCAAACCTATTGATGTTACCGCACAATAAACACCTCTTTGAATGAAAGGATAGGATTTCCTAAATTCTTATCCTAAGATTGGAGTGCACAACCTGTGGCTCGCAGGCCATGCGCGACCCGTCGACTGTCGATGTGCAGCCCACGGGATTTTTTGAACACAATAAAAAAAAATTCTTTTAATTTGGTTTTTGTTTAAACATTTTAAATTTTATTTCATAAAATATTTATTTCAAGTTTATATTACTCTATAAAATGCACATATTTTTTGCACTTTCATTATATAAGCTTCTTTTGGTTAGAATTTATATCCCCACTCACTCAATATTTATGTACATATATATTTCATAAATTAATTACTGTGAAAAATGGAAAAAGTTTTTTAAAAAATATATCACTTCTCTTTCGGTTTTAAATAAATTCAAATAATTAAAAGTATTTAATTTTCTGCAAATATGTTACTAAGTTCACTGATAAAAATATTTAGTGCTTAGAACACCAATGTTTATATAAGAGTTATCATATTTGCCACCAAAATGACTAAATATGCGTGCGACCCTTCACTCAAAAAGGTCGTGAACCTCTATCCTAAGATATAGGTGGTCCTAATTTATGGTTATTCACAATCTGTGTCTCAAAGCATCGTTTTGTTTAAATTCACCCATGTCAGTCCTCTTGTGCAACCTTTTTAATGCTTTCCTTAAGAGAGAAGTTGATTGTTTTTATTTTATTTTATCCGTCGTTGAACATCCGACCCAATTTTGGGTTTACGACAACTAATGTTCAACTCCGTAGCCTTGTCATTTTAAACCAATACAGAAGACAAGGTGACTCCTGGATCAGTACCCCCAGAGGTATTGATTTGTTATGGGAACACAGAGGACTTGTCGACTCAACATATTTATCATGCATCAGTCACCATTTACTACTAATACCATTCCCTACACAGGGAATTTTCGGCCGGCGGGGATCAAAGCCACGAACTCTTGAACATGGCCCCAGTGCCCTACCAACCAGGCTATCATGGTCTCAAGTTGATTGTTTATATCTTAGATGGTTTTGAGTTCCTTGGATTGAAGATCTAGAAAGTTTCTTTAGGCAGTTATCTTGGCCCTGAATCAGAATATTATTTTTAAGGTACTTTCCTTCTATTTTAAAGGAAAAAAATCAAAAGAAAAGATTACGAAAATTACACAAAAGAAAAAAATCTGCATTATTACAAATTTTTCTGTTAATTATTAAATTCTTAGTAAAGCAATCTGTCTTTGTTTAAAATCTGTATTTTTTTTTCAGCTACGAGTTAATAATTATAGTATTTTAGTGTTCACACGATAAAATGACCTAGAATTTGTTTTCATCCAAACTGTAAGGGTCATTATTTCAACTAATATTAAAAATGAATGCATAATAAAAAAATATCTAATTACTTTTGAATTCGTTTTTCAATGACAGGCCTAACAGTATCCAACCAGTCACCAGAAATCGGACCTGTTTAAATAACAAAAGTCATAATAATCAAACAAAAAATCATAATAATCAGGAATATACAAGACTTTTTTTTTAAACTAACAATGCTCCATTAAGTTTTGAGAAGTTTAAAATTGAGAATTTTAAAACATTGATTACATATGTAACTTATTGCTGTTATATAACATAGATCATTTGAGCTTTAGTTTAGCCAGAGTTGGGAGTCGATTACAGTAATCCAGTGATTCTCAACCTCTGTGCCGCGGCACTTTGTGTGCCGTCAAATTTTTAATATGTGCCCCCAAATATTAGAAATGATACAATAAAAATTATAATACATTTTTTATTATGAGTAAAGTTTAAATTAAAGAAAAGTGCATATATAATATATATTTTTTATAATTTCACCACGCTTTAACCACGTGAACATTTTTGTCGGCGATTGTCTTGTCACTGACAAAGTTAAAATAAGATGGAAGTGTTTAAATTGTATATGAAGCACAATTTTAAAAAATGTTGTAAGAACTTATCATTAAAGTAAGCTATGCAATTAATAAACAAATTAACAAAGGATAACTAAAAAAACAAATATATAAAACCAAATTAACAAAGGATACCTGACAAAAATTAAGCTAACAATTAATGATTAGCAAAAAAACCAGTTAACAGGAAATCACAAAAAAATAACAATTAATAATTATAGAAAACAAGCTAACAATTAATAACTAGCAAAAAATAAATAACTGTTACCTAACTAATAAAAAATTGGTCAAAAGAAATAATTAATCCCTTAATAAATGTGCTTTTGTAGTACATATTATTTTATTTCACATTCAAAATTATTATCACAAACTATTCAACACAGTGTAAAATAGGTAATTAAGCAACTTTTAAACTAATTTTTTTCATTGTGTGCCGTCAAATTTCGAAATCGTTAAAAGTGTGCCGCCACAAAAAAAGGTTGAGAATCACTGCAGTAATCGATTACAACTGTAATTGATTATAGATAATTACAGCTATATAATCAATTACAGGTAATCATAATGTTTGATTACATCAGAGTAGATTACATGTATGCACATATGTATATAACTAATGCAGATGTAGATAAATGCATGTCTCCAGACATTTTAGTTACACATCTATACCATACACATATATTGTAAGTATAAATCACATGTAAGTATTTATATAGCTAATAATTGCGTATGCATGTGCAATAATCGACTATGGTAATCACAATTACAGCTGTGATCAAAATTATGTTACCTTGTAAGCATGATTACAAATAATTGAAAAATGTAATCGATTACATTTTTGCCTAACTCTGAGTTTAGCCATCATTACATAGAAAATGGCTACCAAAATATTAAACATTTGTCACCAAATGCGTCAACCTAATTTAAAAGAATAAAACCGTCATTCCAAATCCCATTTCAATATCTCTGTAGCAATTTTTTTTAATACAAATTTTCATGTTTTTAAAATCTTGATGTTTTATTATGATTACCCAAATGTCACCTTTAAATAATGAATTTTTGATGGATTTGATTATTAACAATTCTATTGTTACTTTACTAAGCGTTATCATTGTCACTCATTTTTTCTAAAGTTAAAATACGACATAGATTCCGATATTCCATTTTTAAAAACCTGAAAACAGATTAAAATCAGGTTTGCCAGATTTCAGCTAGACTGAAAAAAAGCTGTTATTTTCTTTTTCAATAACTAGGATAATATGAAAGGGCCATAACGCTATTGTTAATTACAAGGATATTAGAAACAATGTTTTTTTTTTCGAAACTCGTTAGTTTGATCTTCAAAGAACATCTTAAGAAAAATCAACTACCTGGAATCATCAATTTCCTAACTTTTGAAATGAAATATGCTTTTATTATTACTTTGAACAAATCTTACAGTTTTATTAAAAATAACCAATAAAAAGAAACACAATTTTTGAAAAAATGTTTATTCTGGTAAATCACAGCTGGAAAATGGCTGTGAGTGATTTTGGGCCATTTCAATGAGATGAGCAATTGTTTTTGTCACATTAGCTGACATTTTAGCATTTTGCTGCATCATAGTTCATATTTTAGTTCCTTTTTTTTACTGAACAGTAATCTGGTATGTTAGTGAATAATAAAACAGGGTGCATTGCCAGGCTTTTCAACAAAAAATAAGCACCTTTTAAGTACTTTTTAAACACTCATGAAATATTTGTAATCATGTTCCCCCCAAAAAAATTCATAATTAGGAACTGTGCAGTAATAAAAAATATTTCTTTCTATCGTTTAAAGTTCTTAATTTATAAACATAAAATCAATACAATTCAAAATATTTTCAAAAACTTTACATAATTATGATAAAATAACTAGTTTCTGATAAATATTGCAGAGAAAATTGTGAAAATCATGCGTTTTTTGTAATTTAAAACGACCTAATTTGTTTGAAAATCAGTGATTTTCGAACAAATTAGGTAGCAAACAGAGGGTTGAAAGAAGAGTCAATAAATTGCTTGCAGAAAGTTTTTCATTCGATTTAAGTCTGCTAGGTGCACTCTGATCAGAATATTACTAACTATAAATTCATTTGACATTTACCTAGATCAATCGGCCCATCTTTTAATCCATCTAGTTCATACAACCTATTTTCTATTGGAACATAGCCAATAAAATGGAATACGTCATCGTCTTTATTAGGCTGACGAGCATCAAATTCAAACATTTGTTGCCTGCAATCAAATCAATATTTAAGCATGAATGAATAAAAAGTCATTTATAATACAGCAATTGCTTTCCATAGAACTCTACGATTCTGTAGATTTCAAGAGATACGATTTGTTTTTAACAGTTCAGAAATCTGTAATTATATTAAGCAGTGTTGCAACTTTGAGGCCCTTAAACATAAATTCTTAGAGGTACTCTTTTAGTATTTATATAAATTAGCCATTGCTTTGAAAACATAATAATTTATTGAAAGTATATTTATTATCCAATAACATTTAACAATATAATAATTATTACATAGTATGTACTCAATAATGTTGGAATTTTTTTTTTACATTTCATCATTAGAACAATTTAAAAAGAAAAAAATAGAGGTGAAAGATTCTTCGGTACTAAAAAGGATTAGAGGTCTGTCGATAAATTTTGGCAGATTTTGTAACCTAAAATTTTTTCTGACATGAGCAAATAATGTTGTGCTCAAGATTTCTCTTTTAATGGTTTTTAAAGGTATTGATGTTTGATGATATACATTTTCATGCAACCTATTTTATTTAATAACCGTCGCTGAAGAGCCAACCCAATTTTTTGGATTTGGGATTACTAATGTTCAACTCTGGAGCCCTGTAATTTTGAATCCAATCCAGAAGACAAGGGAACACCTGGATTGGGAGAAATTTTGCCTTCGTGGAGAACGTTTTCATGGAACTAACCCACATTTGCTTTAGATGGAGAGGTAAACCTCCCAGAGTTGGCCTGAGGCAAGGGGACTCTAGCCAATGATCCGTCAACCACTGAGAATATGGTCTCTAACCTCATTGGAAGGCAAACACTGAGCCACCACAGCTGTTATAGAGAATTTAAAAAAGAACTGATATTCTGTATTTAAAACTTTAAATTTATTATCATTCAAATCTATATCTGGATGCAGCCTTGCTGGAGAACTTAAGTTTCTAAGACACATTCTTTTCAATTTTATCCAAAAACAAAATTCAATCTAAGTACCTTTCGAAATCAGTCTAAGTACTATCATGGAACTCGGTGCTTATTTACATTTTTTTACTCAAAATAATTTCAATTTTAAAAGTATTTAACATAGTTTTAACTTAACAAATTTAAACATGCAGTCATAAAAACCAGAGGTAAAAACCTAAGAAAACAATTGGTAAAAACTCTCAATTTAATTAACACAAAATCATTGGTTACTTAGTCTTACTACTGATTTTGTAATGGGTCATTTTTCAGGTTTGTCACAAGATTTTTCCAGGATCAATTACTTTTTTATCTGACACTTTCAGGTTTCCCTGACAATGTAGGAACCCTGAAATCCAAATTCCAGCTTTTTCGGACTAAATGGAAATATTAAGTATGGGGTGAATCAACACTTCCTTGACAGGGTGGGTAGTCAAATCTTTCAACAAAAAATAAGCACCTTTTAAGTACTAAGCACTATATGTATTAACAAAATGCAAAATAATTTTTGAAGACTTAACATGAACATGATAAAATAAGTAGTGTCTGACATAAAGAACTCTTTTCTTGATTATATTAACCATTAAAAAATGATCAAGAGATTTTTCAGTTCCATTTTAGAGGGTGGGAAATGAAGCTTGAAATTGAGAATATCTCGCAAAATGCAGCAGAGTTGCACAAGAGACTGCTCTCACCGAACCCAGCTCAGTAGAAGCGCCTGCGGACCAGCAAGGATTTCATCAAACATGTAAAATGATTGGTGCTTTCATGCGCTATGGACCGACGGTACCCTGATAAAGATTGTGATTTCGTGATTCGTGAAAACCTTGGGTAGAACAACGTAATAAGCACGCTTTTGCATAATACGTGGGGAAAAATGACTTGCTAAAGAAAAAAAATCTCATATTCAAAAAGGGGAAATTAAGCACTTTATAAAAACATCATGTTCACCATAGTTGGATAGACAGCCCAATGTGGGTCAATTCCTTCCTCTGAATACTTGTCCAAAATGACTTCCGATTTATTTTTGATCTCCAATTCTTTTCATTAATTGCAACAAAATCACACTCCACCAAGTCAGCCCATCTCAACAGTGGCCTTCCCCATTTTCTTGCTCCAGTGGGGAATCACGCAGGCCATCCAATTCATTCTATTTATTTTTATGTATTTAAGAATATCGGGTTGCTTATAAATCTTGTACAGTTCAAAGTTAAATCTCCTTCTCCAGTTATTGTTTTCATTTACACCACCAAGTATACTCTGCAAAATCTTTCTCTCAAATATTGTGATACAATTCTCCTCCAGTTTTATCATTGTCCAAGCTTCAGAAGCGTATGTCAAGACTGGCCAGACAAGAGTTTCTTAGATTAAGAATTTTGTTTTCCTGGAAAGAAACCCAGATTTCGGTTTTTTATTTCAGGAGTCATTCTGTTGCCAATTGCAATAATTGATCCTAAGTAAATAAAACTCATTACTGTTTCAAATCTATAAGAATCTATTCCAAGATGGGGGTCTGGGACTCTGTTTCATGAGAATAACATTAACTTTTTAAAAACACCTAATAAAAAAAGCACCGCTAAGGGCTTTTAAAAAATGAAAATAAACACCTCTAAGCACTTTTTAAAAACGCTATGCACCATGTGTTTACCTACCATCCATATTACAGTTTTATATATGGAATACTTGAAAATAAAAATAAGTACCTAGCAAAACTATTGTGAACTTCACGAATGACATCAGAATTGCTGAGGGTCAGACCCTTCATCTGAAAAGAAAGAGATATTCTTTATTCACAACTATTTAAATATTTTATTGTACAATTATTTATTAACCCTCCCCATACGGCTCTTGCGATTTGCGTGGGGTATCAGTTTCCCCTGTGGCAGAATCATGGCGACATTGTTGCAAAACATTACAGAGTGCCTGCAGAAAGATTTTTCATTTGGGAAGCGAAGAAGTTGGAGTTTTTTTTATCTGCAGAATTGTTTGAAATATTTTTTTACAGAACTTTTTCTACCCTTTCTGCAGAATTATATTCACAAAATGCTTTTCTCAAACCGGAAGTGGAATAAAAATGCTTATGCCTTTTCTTTTCCACTTTAAAGAATAAAAAAATGACGTAATGATAGGGTTTTCAGATTTCGGATTGATATTATAAAAAAGTAATTTCCAGACATCAAAAATTTAAAGGTTGACCATACAAATATTTTTCAGAACATGAGAATATTGCTAATAATATTAGAATATGTATTCTTTCACATTTAGATTTTTAAAAAAATTCTTACATTTACAATTGGAAAAAAAATATATATGCTGTTCTGTTCTATACATAAAGGCTTTTTGTTATAAACAGAAAGTGCTTCCAGTACTTTAAAATAAATTAGCAACATATATATTTGTTACTATTAAATATGTCTCTCAGAAAAGGTATTAGAACTAAAAAGAATTGTAGCAGAAAGCTCGAAAAAATTTTGCCAGCGGGTCAGTTTTGTCCCCCAACTACAGTCACGTGAATACTGTGGGCGAAATTTCCCCCCCGCCTTATTTCAATACTGATCCTGCTATCATTTGATGTTTATTTTTGCCGGTAGATGGCACTATAGGGTTCAGGGATTTTTTTCCTGCATATTTGTGAGTATTCATGCTTTTTGTTTTTCTTTTGTGAGATAAGCATTTATGAAAGATATGGATTTGCCAAGTGTCAGGGGAGTTATATGTGAGAATAACAAAACAAAACAAAAAAATCTTGATTATGAAGATAGTGATTTGGAGTATTCCATAAATCTGGGCTTTCATTTCATTTTTTCTGTTTCATTACAAAATTTTGCTGAAAATGAAAATATTGCACACATTTTTTCACTTATAAACCCTGTCTGCTGAAACCGTGGGTGCTGTATTACACTTTTTTTGAAAACCTAAAAGCTATTAAAATTCTTTTATTATTTCAAAACACATGATGAAAATGCGAATTTTAAAATATGTAGATAAAGAAAATACACGAAAATCGCCTCGTATTTCAGGACCAGAAAGTGTAAAACCTGAGCCGTACAGGGAGGGTTAATCATAATTTAAATGCAGCACACTTTATGAAATGAAAGTAAATAAAAGCATTGATTTTTAAACAATTTATAGAAGGTGTACTATTTTAAAAGTTAAATATGAAACTCTTAAAACATAAAATATGAAACGACCAAAGAAAATAACACAAAAACATATTAAAATAAATCATTTAGTTTGGTGGATGACCAACATATTCAGTAGCCATGACTCTTGACATGTACCATATTATGAATATAAACTTAATCATTTGAATATAACATATAATTGAATAGTGCATAGTTTAAATTGTCCTAGAGCAGGGGTGGCGAACCTTTACACACCAACATGCCATTTTTTCCAAAAAATTGTTTAATGAGGTCATAGACGTGCCGTCAAATAATGATTATTGGGAAAATAATAATACTAAATACTATCAACTCAAAACTCTTTCATTACAGGGAAAAAAAATATATATTTTGCAATGTCTCAGTTATACGCGTAATTCAACTTAAAGTAACATCAGTGTGACTCCTGTTGTTGCAGATTAGATGACAAATAACTTATATTAGGTTGTAAGATGGACTGTTTATTTTTTTTGTTAGTTATTTATTTTTAGCTTGTTTTTTATGGTTATTAATTGCTTTTTTAGCATTAATTGTTAATTTTTTTCATTAATAATTGTTTATTATTTTGCGTGTTTTTTGTGAATTTTAATTTAATTGTCACATATGCTTCATAGTGTAATAGCGTTTGAGTAATAACAATTCATAGTGTAATAACAAATGTGATCGGTGGCGTGCCCAAAATATTGTGTCGGGTGCCATAAATGGCACGTGTGCCATTGGTTCGCCATCCCTGTCCTAGAGGGTCATAACACTCACACAGTAATACCGAGTTCAAAACTCTTAAATGGAGTTGATACGGAACAAACCTAAGCAACAAATAATACATAAAAAACATTTTTAAAGTCAATTCCTACCTAGGTCAACAAACAAAATTTTATTTTAGTTACAGGACCCAATAAATATTGTGTTGTAGAAAGATATATTATTATGTCGAGGGCCTAAATACTTTGGGAATATAATAAGATCTTTTTCAATGCTATACAAGTATTGACTATAAATCTATTTATATATTTTATAAAAATCTATTTTGAAGAGTGGTAATTATGGTCAGATATGAAATCAGATAGGAATGTTAAATTTTTTCTTTTCACAATTATTTCATACTCAATAAATTAGTTTTCTTTTATTCATAAATTTTAAGATCAAGTTTTTCTTCTTCTTTTAATTCAGTTAATATTAAAATATTCTGGGTTTCAACATTAATGTTAGTGCTTTTTGAATCTATTGTTTCTATTTGGTAATTGATTTTTTTATTTTTTTTATTGGATGTACAAATAAGTTCCCACTGTTCATCACAAGATGGCACCACCAGACGGGTTACGTAGAAATGGATTGGTGTTAAACATCTTATTGTAAGTTTGTTCAGCCGGTAAAAACATAACCCTTAAGCATTAATGATTCCGTATTAGCATTACGTAATTGTTTTTGTATAAGTTTTCCTTTCATTTTCTTTTTTTCCTATAATTAGGTATGAAATATATTGCATTTTTTAATCATTGGTTTTGTTTTATGTTAGTTAATTTGGTGACTTGAATTAATCTTCAAAAAATAAATAAGTGAATGTTTTTATTCTTTTAAAAGTTATTGTTCTAAATTTTTCTTTTTAAATTTAGGAGAACTATTATTTTTTTACTTATTTTTACTCTCTTTTTCTTGTGATTTGGGCTCAAAAAAGGTGTCTTTATTCTTTTAAAAGTTATTATTCTAAATTTTTTTTTTTAAATTTAGGGAAAGCTAATTTTTTTTCTTCTTATTTTAAAATGTGCTATTTTTTGTGATTTGTTTTTCATAAAACATCGATTAACAACACTTTAAGCCGATCCAGGCATCTGCTGAATACCTGAGCATCCCAGATAATTGGTTCTCTAATGCAATTGTATTTAAATGAATGTAAACTAAATTGGCATCATTGAAACATGTTTATTAAATAGCAAATTATTTTACAAGCAGCAAAAGAAAAGTCATCATTTAGAAGTTTCATAACACTTTAACTTACATTTAGTCTTTTTTTTAATCAACTTTGAACATTAAATTATAATTTATATGCACTATCATCTCTCATTATTTCTCCTGGGTAAAACTTTCAATATCATTGAAATCGCAGTGTAAAAAAAACCAAAACATAAAGAATATATTTAAAATTGTCCACATAAAAATACTTTTGCAGTAAAATTAAGGAATTTCAAATAAAAAAAATCAGTTGATTCAAATTAAGTTTTTCGTTTCAGAAATAAAATATCAAGGTATTACCCCCATTGCACCGACTAGGCGACATCGTCGCAGAATGTTAGACTTCCTGCAGAAAGACTTTTCTTTCGAAAAAAATAAAATTACTTTTCTTTTCTACAGAAATTAACACGTAATATTTTAATCATGCATTTAAATAAACACTTCCTGACACGCTCAATTTACGGCGATAGAATCGTAAATTGATTTAATGTTTCAATTGTATTTTCGGCAGTTATTGATTTCTCCTTAGTTTTTAAGTCCGATATTACAACAACCTAGTTTCAAAATGAAACACGCATTTGAGTGATTCGTGTGATTTCATCGTTGCTCTTTTTTTCCGGCAATTATTATCCGAAACTATGACTTTTAATTACTTTTTCATAATTTTTAATTATTTTATTTTACTGAGATAATTATTTACAAAATTCGAAGAAGGAAATAATTTGCGTGTCCCCCCTAACAAAATGGGAAAATATCACCCATAATATTAGAATAAAAAATTATTACATGTTCAATTAAAAACAATTATATATATTTCTTTTGTAAACACAGCACTTTTGTTATTTTGAATTAGCAACATATATGTTTGTTATTATTAAAAGTACCTTGAAAAAAGCTACTAGTGACAGAGAGTTTTGTCACAGAAATCCCTAAAAAATTCCGCCAGAGGGATCCTGTCAACCCTTTAACTAGGAAATGTTTTTTTTCGATTAATTTTATTTTGATTGATGTGCAATGGAATTTATTAAAAAATCACTTTTTTAAATGAAACTTACAGTGGCATCAAACGTCTGACAGAAATCTTTGAAAGAAGACAGTGTATTGCCAAGGGATACGTCAGGATGGCAGCAATTCAATAATACACTGAGAATAGCTTGCGTGGCACAAGCATTATTGATAACCTGAAAATATAATGAATAAAATTACTTAAAAGTAGAGATGGAATAAAGCTTTGGATTGTGATAACAATTTATGTTGCGTTGAATTTTATATATATTGGAATAATTATATAAAATTTGGTTTTTCAAGTTATGTCTTATATAATAAAATTTATTAAAATTTTTATCTTAAAGTTTTTCTTGCAGCAAAATGACTTGAGCCATCATTGGACCAATATTCACAAATCCAGGGTCAATAAGGGGCTGTTAGCAATCCTTGCCTCGAACTTGAAAAAATTTTGATTGATCTTATTTAAACATATGTTTTCTCAACAAGCTTGCCATTCAAGTCCTAGTGAAAAAAAAAAATGTTTTTTTAAGCATTCGTACAGAAGTCGATCATCGGTACCATTTGACAATGTAATTTTGCTTACTACAGATATTTATAATATTTATAAACGTCATCGAACGGCCGACCCGTTTTTTGGTTTACGACTACTAATGTTCTACTCCGTAGCCTTGTAACCCAATCCAGAAGACAATGGAACTCCTGAATCAAGTATTGAGAGAAATGTGCTTTCGTGGAGGACTTTTTGATGGAATTAACCCGCATATGCGTTACATGGCGAAGAAAACCACATAAACTTCCCATGGTTAGCCCCGAACTTTTCAGTCAATGTTCTTTTATATCAGGAGTGATATATATTTGCTGTTATTATATTGTTTTAATACCATGCTGTTATTTTAAAATAACAGCATGGAACTTTAAAATTAATTGCATTAAAAACTTCAACTATAGCTGAAGCAGGGTTGGCATAATTTAAAAATATTTAATTAAATAAAATCATTGGTTTGAATCACATAATTGTCTTAAAAAATCATAGATTTATTTAAAAACTATTATTTATACAGTACTGAATTGTCTAGTAAGTATATACTTATTAAGCAGACTTAGACCAAAATATATTCCCTTTTATATAAAAATAAAATTATAAACCTTTCTCTTTCAAACACCATTTGAGTTTTGTTTCTGCGTTAATTAAGGACAGGTGTTATGATGATTTAAAAAAAAAACATCCATATTAGTTATTAAATTAATAACATCTTCTTTTTTTTTACATTATTCTCATAACTAATTTTTTTTATTATTTTCCTTCATTCTAAATTAAATCTCTTGAAATATTTTCGTTCAAAATACTTAAAATTTTGAATGAATATTTTCTATACACAATGTCTTGGGGACAGACTACAGACTAACGGATTAAACGATTATTATTTTTGTTTTACAGCCAAGATAAAAATAATTAATTTTAACTTTTGGTTTTTTCTACCGAATAAGTTTTTATATTTGAGGTAAAATATCTAAATATTATATCTAATTCTTAGTTCATTCTCTAAGTTGAATTTTCATGAGTGAATAATTAATTAATAATAATAAAGTTTAATAGTTATGAATGAATAAAGCCAGTGGTCTGTCCAGGTCAAATTTACTACCGTTTAACGGTACCTTCAGAAATTCAACTTTAGGAAAATTTCACAAAAAAAAGTTTTATTTTTGTATCCCGTAGGAAACAATAAATCCATATTTTTGTGTTGATTTTTCAATATAATTTTTAATTTTCACAAATAATGTCTAAATTTTCACAAAATAGGTACCTCTCAGAAAAACCTAGACAGACCCCTGAAAGCAAGAATAATGAAAGTTTAATAAAGAACAAAGATATGTGATTTTCTAAAAAAGTTCAATTTCTAGTCTTTTTTGGCCAGTTTTCTGACACATTTCTTTTTCTATTTATAGAATGTTTTGGTGTTTAAAACATATATAAATCTAAATAATTAAAAACTTCAAAATTTTGTCTTTGCAGGTATTCTATTACCTTAAAGCTGTGATAATAAACTGCAGATAATAAATCTCATGGATAATAAATGTTTCATTTATAGAATTAAGGAATAAATTAAAAAACAAAATATTATTTTTTTGAAGATAAGAATGTATGAAATGTAGATGAGAATGTATCTTCCAAATTATATTTTTTCATTATTCATTTGATATAATTTTCATACGTAAAATAACATGCTGTCTTATTACCAACAAATATTACACCCATTTAATTTTATACACATTTATATCAATACAAATAATTCCAGAAATAATGAAATCTGCAGTTTGGGTATCCAATTCTAAATTAAAGAAAACTTGTTCTGTCAAGAATAATAAAATGTTTTCAGATCTAAATTAATTTACTTTTAATTGGACAATTTAGTCATATTTCATTATAATTAATTAATACTTTCAGTTTGATAAAAAAAAATAACTGACTTCATTTATTCAGTAATTAGTTTGCAATTATTGCATAATAATATTAACCTTTTTTACTATGAGTGGTATTAAAAATTTAAGTTACAGTATGTCACATATAATTTATATATTTTGTCAGAATTTCGATCATTGAACACAAAAGCAATTATAAAAATAATCTGATAAAAAGCCAATGTTTGATAGATATTTAAAAAAAAACAAAACATGATTTTACCAACTATGGTAAAATACCTCGATGTTTCGACCCTAAAGCCATGAGCACACACCCCTGGGAGGTGTGCCTAAACTATCACATTTTAGCATTCACAATGAGAGGCATTTCCAGATGTGGCCATTTTTAATTTAATGCAACTCAGAGAAATTATTTAGGCAAACCTTCGATCGACATTTGTTGACCGATTTCATTAATTACTTCTCTAAGTTTTAGACATATATGAAGGCCAGTAAATGATTAATTAAAAGATGAGTAACCATTACATTCCTTAAACTGAAGTATAAAATCTAAGTTTTAGTAAAAAAAGGAGGAGCCACATGACTGTGGAAAAATGCAAATGAATGACATTTAAAATAAAAACGATCATTATTTTAGTGAATTAAGTCTGCTGTTTTAAATTTTCTTAATTTTATTTTTTAACAATCAGTTTTCTGACAGTTATAAATAGCAGTCATCTCTTAAAATAATGATAATAAATGATGAAAAAAAGGAAGAAACATATTTCTTCCACTTTTTCTAGTGTGGAAGAAATCTCTGATTAATGATTAAAAATGAAAGAAACATATTTCTTCTATTTTTTCTAGTGTGGAAGAAATGTCCGATTAATGATAAAAAAGTGGAAGAAACATATTTTTTCCATTTTCTCTCATGTGGAAGAAATCTCTGATTAATGATGTAAATATACACTTCTGAATGTAAGAAATAAAATACCTGTTTAGCAAAGAATATTTTTTCAAGCCTGTTATCTTGAACAACAGATCCTGATGGTTCATCTCCTTGGAACCATTTGAACAAAAATATTAATCCATGTACAGGTCTAAAATTAATAATGACATTAGTTAGCATATTCATTGAAGTAGAAAACAACATACAGAAATAAGAGTGAACTCCCGAAGGTTCATCTCCTTTTAATCATTCAAACAAAAATATAAAGTTATAATGACAATAATTGTTATTTATAGTTTTATTCTATATGTGGTGAGTTATTTATAATTCAAAGTGTTTCTGTTATCATAAATAAATTAGTAGCACATATAATTATTATCATTGTAGAGGTAATAGATATCGACAACTCCAACCTTCATCTTTCAAAAGCTACCCCACCATAGAATCGAGTTAACACGTCTTATATACTAGTGAATTGGAATTACATTTTTGTAGTGGTAGATACACTACAGTACTCCCCCACCAAAATTATATTTGCGATAGAATTCGATGAGCGGATACCACTATTCAGTGCTGTTTTGTGAGAAGCCAGGAGAGCTGTATTAAGATCACCGTACTTTTTGCTGGTTGTGAGAACAGTATCGAGTTCACGGTCAAGGCTGCTCCCGTGTTGTCATTAGCAGTCGAGACAGAGTAGCGACAGCGGAAGGAGGTGGATAATGTCGAAGACACGAGTAGCGAGTCAACTGTTTAATGTGGACCATGTGTGTGTGTGGCATGTTCAGATCAAAGTGGGAGTTACTGATGAGATAGACATGTTCAAACCGGAAAGGGAGTTTCGGCCAAGGTAGGCGTGTTCACGTCCCGAACGGGTCACCCGTGTGGGGACGGTAGCTATTGACAATGTCGACCTTCATCTATGAAAAGGTACCCCAACAGAGAATCGAATTAACACGTCTTATATACTAGTGAATGGGGATTACATTTTTGCAGTGGTACACTACAATCATTAACAATATCTTGCAAACTGCTATGGTAGTTTATCACAAAAAAAAAACAGAAAAATTTGCAACAGGGGGATCACCATTGAGTCTCAGGGTAAGTTTAGAGTGAAATGATCTCTTCAGACTTTATGCACAATTAGTTTAAGAGAATAAAGAGAGCCATTAAGTTTAGTTCTACATAACCAAAATAGTTAAAAAAAATAATAATTTCAAATTTTTTTCTCCCATTTAGGTAAAAAAAGTTTTTTTTTTAAAGTTTGTATTGATCTTAATATTTGATAATTAAAACCAATAAAATAATTTCTTTTCACAAAAAAAAAATAACTTTTTCAGAATTTAAATACTTTTCAAATATGTGTCTGTTTTTAAAAAGATTAAGTTATTTCAGCCATATAGTTTATGTAACATTAAATTTAAAACTTAATTTCAAATTAAAGATATTATTTTTTATCCTTGACCGTAAACTTTCAAGAAATAAAAAAAAAAACTTGCAAAAATAGAAATTGAATATACAAACTTAATATTTTCAAAACTCTCAGCATCCAGGCTGTAGAGCTCTTCTACTTGAACTCCTTTTACACCTGGAATAGAATATTTAAAATACAGATATTGAAAAATGATAAAAATAGAAACAATACTTATTCATACACAATTAACGACACAAATGAATGCCAATGTAACAACAATGAACAAGAAACAAATTTCACTGAAATCTAAGGTTATAAATGCAGTTATAAATCGAAAGAAAGGATTATCATTTTGAACAACTAATGATCTACTTTAGGAGCAGGGTTGGAGTTTTTGCCGGCAAAAAGGGGTTTTTGCCAGGACAGTGGCAAAAACCTGGTAAAAACCGGCAAAAACCAAATTATCTAAATTGCTGATTAAATTTTATTACAAAATACTTGAAACAAATTAAAATCAATCATAAGGAATAATAATTTTGATACATTACATGAAAAAATTATTTTTAACATATTAATAATTAATATAAAAGCAATAATTTTTAAAACATTGAAAGGTTTTGACCTCTTTTCATTTTAGAATCCTTAAATAAATGTTTTTTTACAAATAAATAAATATTATTATTGCTATATTAGAAAAAATTATTATTTGTACAATAATTAACTACATATCTTGATAGATATTTTATGCTTTGAATTACAGTTATATTAACTTAAAATAAGTTCATTTCACTGGAAAAAAGAGAATAATCGCAAATTTTCGAATCAATAATGTTTTAAACTTCTAAAATGATATATTATAACATTATGATTTAATTATGAAATAATAATTTTGTTAATTTTTTTGTAATTATTTATATTTATAGTATATATTTCAATTTTAGGAATAATTTTGTACCAAAAATGTGTTTTTGTCCTCTCATCTTGGAAAATATAGGTTTTTGCCACTTTTTGCCAATTTGCTTGGCAAAAACCTGTTTTTGCCAGGATGGTTTTTACCGCTATTTACCATGGTTTTTTCCACCTGCAGCAAAATCTTGCCAACCCTGTTTAGGAGTGCACAATCTTTTTGAGTGAAGGGCCACTTGCACAGCAGGTTAACTAACGAAGGGCCGCATGCATATTTAGTCATGTTGGTGGCAAATATGATAATTTTTATCTCAAAATTGGTGCTCTGAACAAAAATTATTTTCATCCAGAGTTCCTGATTTTTTTGATTTAAATCAGATTTTTTTGATTTTTATTCAAACACATTGTAAGAACTTTAGTTTATGATTAAAAATACTTTATAAATGTTTAATCAAAATTAAATTAATATGAAAGCAATATTATAACAATATTTTAGAAGCTCTAACTTACTAATATAATTTTTCATTATAAAACATAGCTTTGAATGCATAGCAACCACTTTGAAACAAATGCATAATTGAAATCTGAAGACTAGATGAAATAGAGAATTTAATGAAAGGGGTCTGTCTAGTTTTTTCTGAGAGGTATTTATTTTGTGAAAGTTTAGACATAATTTGTGAAATAACATTAGAAAATCAACACAAAAATATGGATTTATTCGTTTCTAACAAAACACAAAAATAAAATTTAAAAAAAAAGTATTTTGTGAAACTATCATTTTTCCTAAAGTTGAATTTGTGAAGGTACCCTAAGCAGTAGCAAATTTGGCTTGGTCAGACTCTTTAACTATTAAATTTAAGTTTCAATTAGCAAACCATAATTTTAATTTAAAATTGTGTTTTTTTTTCTCTTGATTTTTAATATGACAAAATAAATGTAACAGATTGTGTTTATAAATGTAGTCATTCATCAAAAAAATAAATTAATTAATAATCTNGTTTGCAGCTGCTTACTACATGTTATTCTGAAAGGCGATGTTTTCAAACGGATAATTTTGTTTTCAATAAAAGAAATAAATTAGATAATTTCTGAGCTCAAATCTGCCGTATTTCATAAGATATTAATGTTATTATGTAATTCTGGGGAGTTTGGAGTGAAAATTTGTTTTAGTTATTTTGTTATTTATTATTAAAAAAGGTGATATGGTTGCTAGATTTTGAATAACTCGCTTTTTTGGCAGTCTTGATTTGGCCTCTTTCCATTTGTTTATTACTGTTTGTTCGTGTTGCAAGCTGTGCACCATCTTACGTTAGTGTTAACACTTTTAGTATTGTAAACACAACCCAGAAAGCATGTAACCTTACGACAACCTTGAGTTTTAACTTTATTTTCATTGTCACGAAAAGGTTTGCGGTAAATACCTTTTTTCAATGACGTAAAAATATTGCAATTTCCAACCTTCCCTCCTTAAAGGAAAACTAAATGATTTTTAAATCTTTTTTAAAAATATTGTTATTTAGGTTAAAAAAACAAGCAAATTGTAAACCTTATTTTTTGCATTTTTGCTTGCTGTCATTATTAGGTTAGCAGAAATATTAAGCGAAAACCTTTTTCAAAGGAAACGAAATAAAGCAAATATTAACCTTTTCAGCGAAATTATTAGTAAATAATAAGAAAATAATTTGCAAAGGGCCTCATTTAAAGGAAAGCAAATAAACAAGCATAAGACCATGATTTTGGATTTATATATATGAGGAAAAGAGATACGATGAACTCTAAACAAAAATAAACTATAATGCTCATAGAATAAATGCGCAAAAAAAAAACAAAAAAAAAACAGCTATTTTAATGGGTATTATAAATTTGAACTAAATATTTTAAAGAAAATTTATAGGGTTTAAGCAAAAATTAAAACTTAACTTTTATAGTACACATTAAGGTTCAATATTTTGTAAAGAGAAATTAAAAAGATTTCAAATTTTGACTTTTCAAAAAAAAAAATTTATTGCGTTCAGAAGCTTTTGCAGGCAGCACATCAACAGTCGGCGGGCCGCATGTGGCCCTCGGGCAGCAGGTTGTGCACCCCTATTCTACTTGAATGCTTTTTAATTCCTAATTAACACAGCTAGGTGTTAGCTCAAGCCTTTTTAATAGAGTCTCCCTTTTATGGAAAAAAAAAACACTTTCGTGAAACAAATTAAAATTAATGCCTTGTCATAAGAAGCGTTTTTGATTATAATAATGCAATTGGTAACTTCTGAAAGAAAATGATAAAGTCATGTAACATTTAGAGCAATAATTTTTTTAAATATTCAAACCTTTAATACTTTTAATAACTTATAAGAAAGTCTTGGCTACTTCAGGGCAGCAGAACAGGAGAAATTAGAAAAAAAAAAAAAAACATTACAGAAGGAGACCAAATTGAAAGGTTTAACTCACCACAGGACTAACCTCTCTATATGTTATTTGGTGCCTTGACAAACGTAGCTAGCGCAAGAAATCTTAATATTGCTATTGCAATATTAAGATTTTTTTAATACAAAATGGCAATATTTGATGCCTTGATAAATTTAGCTAGCGCAATAAATTTTAATAGTGCTATTGCAATATTATAAGCTGCCTAATTCTGCTCTATATATGTGCATACTGTGATTTGTCATTTAAATGTGCAATTTAAAAAAATAAATAAACATGTTGGAGTATCATGATCTACGACAGAATTACGGTTAAATCTCAGAAACTCCGGCCAGCTACCCGCAAAAAACTTTAATAAATTAAAAATCATAGAAAGGGACCCACTAGTATTTAAAGTTACTTTGAATAACAGAAAAATCGAGTTACAGAAATTTCACTGCATAGGATGCACCGTCTTTTGAAACAAACTAAATATTCTTCGACTGTTTAAAAGTATGTCGGCGTGTTCTGGTTTACCAATTACTAGCAACTAGAAATAAATAATGACACAATAATGAAGATAAGAATGTTACATTAAACATAAAATTACAAACCAAATCCTTTGATTAATTCAGTAAAAACACCAGGATCACTTTCGATTAAACACCATTCACCCGCTGGATTAGACATTTTTTCTTTTAAATTTAGGAAAATTTGTTTATTTACTTTAAAAATTGTTTGTTCAATTTTGATTTTCAAGATTTTACATAGCCAAAGGCTGCCTAGTTCTGCTCTATATATGTCTTCTATGCAAAAACGGATTATTTTAAATAAAACTGTTAACTGGTCATTTCCGACTACTTATTTCTTTAAAAACACAGGCATCAAAATTAAGAAAATTTAAGTCTCTATTGATACATTTATGATGCTAGCAAGGCTCTGCAGCCGCCATAATGGGGCACAAGTTTGTGACGTAAAGAGTTTTGTTTACAATCAGTTGGGTGGCAAGCTTACTAATGGCTTACTATGAGATTTTAGTCTTTTTGAAACAATTGAGCAAATTAAACATTTTCTTCAATTTTTTTTAATATTAACGGTCGATTTTAATGTAGAGTGTAGTTTTAACAATTTTTTAAGCAAGTTTCGGATAAATTGGGATATTTTTTATATGAAAAAAATGATGATTTTTATGGGTTTGTAAAAGATCTCTCTTTACAGATATTGTCTATTATGAATAATGTAAGAAATAGTTGTTGATTTTTCACAGTGATTCCCAAAGTGGTCTATATCGACCCCCAGGGGTCGATGACAACCTGCAAGGGATCTATGTCAAGTGAGAGAAAAATTGGCGAACCATGAAATGAAAATGGGGGTCAACGATAGTGGATCTCATATGAGCAAGTCGTGACTTTTAATTTTGACATGGAATAATTAACATACACTGATAATACCTATTTACTTACATTATACTACTTTTTAATATAAAGACATGTATCTGTCTACTTTCTACATAATACAAAAAAGCAGCTATGAAGTAAAAAATTTATTAAAATTTAAGTTATTAGATTTATTTTTTAATATATGAAACAGAATTATTATAAACTAGCAGTTGCCTGCAGCTCTGCCAGCGTACGTTATTATTTTCTCTGCGTGTAAGGTTTTATTTTGTAACAAAAAAATATTTTTCCTCGGTAAAGTGTAGCCTAACCTTTGTCAACTCTTCAGCTAGCTAGACTTCCAATTTTATCTGCGCACAAGATCACGGTGAGTTGTTGCCAATTGAGTCACGGTGAGTGTTTATTACGTGAAGACGTAATAAACAGACCGACAATACACTACTACGGTTTTGTATACAAACTTATTTCCGCAATTATACTATTAGCAGCGGAGTACGGGTTTTATAGTGGAATTATTTTATTCCATTTACATATTAATTAAACTAGTTGATATTTGATTAATAAATGTTTAAAATAACATGCGTTTTTTTCACGACACACTTCACTGCAGTTAAAAATTTATATCTTTCACAGTGAGTAGCACTATACCAGCTATCGAAAAATACATTTGAAGTTGATGAATTTACAAAAAAATCAATATCAAGAAAGCAGGGGGTCTTTCCGAAACAAAAAAACGAGGCAAGGGGTCTGCGAGGCAAAAGAAGGAACGACTGGTCTAGATTTACGTATAATATCAAGATCATTTGCATAAGCAAGAATTTGCGTAGATCTCTGAAAAATAGTGCTTCTTACATTGATTCCAGATGCTCTGATCACTGTTTCAAGTTCGATATTAAGCAGAAGGCAGGCAAGTGCATCTCCCTGTCTCAGGTTTCTATCAATGTAGAAGGGCTCGAAGAGCTCGTTTTGCAACTTAATTTTTCCCTTGACTCTTCTGAGTGTTGCCTTTGTCAAGTTAATAAGCTTCAGGGGAATTCCTCCATACTACTTACTACTCTTCCTTAAATTAATAAAAAGATGGAAAGTCTCAATGGATGGTGTTTTCAATAGAAATGTAAGCAATAAAAATCTCGAGCTTGGCATCTACTCTAGTTCCGGTTAAGAAGTTTGCAGCTGCTTACTACATGTTATTCTGAAAGGCGATGTTTTCAAACGGATAATTTTGTTTTCAATAAAAGAAATAAATTAGATAATTTCTGAGCTCAAATCTGCCGTATTTCATAAGATATTAATGTTATTATGTAATTCTGGGGAGTTTGGAGTGAAAATTTGTTTTAGTTATTTTGTTATTTATTATTAAAAAAGGTGACATGGTTGCTAGATTTTGAATAACTCGCTTTTTTGGCAGTCTTGATTTGAATCAAAATTAATAAACCCACTAAAATGCATTTTGAATCGAAACAAAAATTAATGGAGTAAGCACAGAAAGAAAAAGAGAAAAATAACTCACTTCTTCATTAAGCTTGAATATCTTCAGATTTTGGTGCACAGAATTCTCTAATTGCAGTTAGGTACTGTCTAAACTACGATCCCTTTCTAATAGATNTCTTTAAGCTATATATTCGTGGAAGCAACGTGTGAGTCGTGGTGTGGTTGTTAGCGCAATGGGTAAAGAAGTTTGTAGACTCGGTGGTCAGGGGTTCGCTCCTGGTAACAGAGTAATTTTTTATTTTTTTTCCTATTTATTTATTTTTATTTTTTAAAATTTATTTTTCGATATTTTAACGTGAATAAAGTGTTATATATATAAAAATAATTATTTTTCTTTGGTAGAGAGTGAGTAATTTCTTAAAAACGGATAAATTTCGACTCCGGAGCTATGCACACGACTCACTCCGTAACTCCCTTCAATATTATCTTATAATTTTCAAACTCTGCCGGAAATTAGAGTTTTATATGCCAAACAATCGTGCCAAGGGAAATTTTTATACATTAATTAGGGGGCACATAATGTGTCAAAAGAAATTTTGTTAATTAACCGTAAGGAAGTTCTTTAAGCTATATATTCGTAGATGGAGCGTGTGAGTGGTGGTGTGGTTGTTAGCGCCATGGGTAAAGAAGTTTGTAGACTCGGTGGTCAGGGCTTCGGTCCCGGTAACGGATTAATTTTTTATTTTTTTCTATTAACTTTATTTTATTTTTTAAAATTTATTTTTCGATATTTCATCGTGAATAAAGTGTTATATATATAAAAATACTTATTTTTCTTTGATAGAGAGGGTGTAATAGCTGAAAAACGGATAAATTTCGACTCCGGACCTACGCACACGTCTCACTCCGTAACTGCC